GAGAAATAGGAAGGCTTTTATGCTGTTGGTGAGAATGTTAATTAATTCAACTGTTGTGGAAGACAGTGTGGCACTCCTCAAAGACCTAACAATAGAACTACCATTCAACCCACCAATCCTATTACTAGGTATATACCCACAGGAATACAAATCATTCTATTATAAAGACACATGTACGTGTGTGTTCACTGCAGCACTGTTCACAATAGCTAAGACATGGAATCAACCCAAATACCTATCAGTGATGGACTGGATAAAGAAAATGTGGTACCTACATACCATGAAATATTATACAGCCATAAAAAGGAATGAGATCATGTCCTTTGCTGGGACATAGATAGAACTAGAAACCATTATCCTCAGCAAACTAATGCAGGAACGGAAAACCAAACACCACATGTTCTCACTTGTAAATGTGAGCTGAACAATCAGAACACATGGACCCAGGGAGGGGAACACCACACACTGGGGCCCATAGGGAGGGGGCAGGAGAAGGGAGAGCATCAAGATATATAGCTAATGAATGTTGGACTTACTACCTAGGTAATAGGTTGATAGATGCAGCAAACCACCACAGCACACATTTACCTATGTCATAAACCTGCATGTCCTGCACATGTATCCTGGAACATAAAAATAAAATAAAATAAAATAAAATAAAATAAAATAAAATAAAATAAATAAAATCACTCTAAAAAAAAAATTGTGTCTTTTTAAATTCTGTACCTTTCCTTCCCAGGATGGTTGATTTTTGCTTTGGCAGAAAATGCTTAATTGCAAGGTAAATTCAGCAACTGTGATAATTCTGCAAACCAAGGAAACTACATTTTTAAAGAAATTTCATCTGTTAACAAAGTTTTAGAATATCTATACTGCACTCAGAAAAGCAGACAATCAAGTATTTTATCATTAATTAAAGTAGAAAGAGTTTGAAACGACTATGAACAAACAACTGACTCAACTTTCTGCTAATTTAACCACAGAAAGTACAGTGCATGTGGCTAAAAGCAGTGGATTTATCAGAAAGGCATATGAAAGAGCAGATGATGACAGTTTGGGCAACTTTTTCTTAAGTATAGACTACCTACTAAGAACTTTTACACATAACTTTTGATATCACAATAACCCTACATATTAGACATGTTCTCCACTTTAGAATCAAGGAAATGGAGACTCAGTGAGTTGAAATAACTTCCTACAAGTTAGCACAAAAGGCAAGTGCATAAGATGGGCTTTTAACCAAGGATTGCCCCATATTCCTTACATTCTGCGCTTTCTGTTCTACCTGTACCAACCTAGAAATACCTTAACATAGGCAAGGTAAAATGTGACTTCATGGGATAAGGACAAGGAGAAAAAGACAGAGTAATTAGTGATTTCTAAGAAACTGTTTATAGCACACAGCTATGCTGTCTCATTTCCTCTACAATACTTCAGTGTAGATAACTGTGTGTGCATATACATGGGTGTGCATATATATACACATACCTGTATATACATGCATGTGCAAACACATCTATACACACATAGTTATACATGTGTGAATACGTGTGTGTGTGTTATAGAATGTTATTTTGGTCCTGGAGTACCAAAATATATACAGCTAAAATAGCATTTCAGACCCAAATCAGGCATCAACACTGACTGTGCTATAAACACATTTCAACAATCACTATCTCAACAGGCACTAGAAAATTTGTTAATTAGCATTAAGAGATGGAAGGAAAAAAAAAGTTGTAAGTAAAAAAAAGTAGTGGTCAGGATATATAGATCAGTTGGAAACATTAGAGACAGGTCTATTGTACAAAGAATCCAAAAAATCAGGATTCAGTTGTGTTTCAGAATTAAGATTTTTTTGAACATTAGAATACTAATATTATGAAAGTAACCATATTAACTACCACCCCTGAACAGGGTCTGGGGAAGCAATCAAACACATTAATATTTCTGCAGCAAGGAACAAGGCCATTCACACTAACCAGAATAAATAAAGACTTTAATAAATACCCGCATGGCAATTCAAAGCTTTCTGTTATCAAAGCTGTTTTTAGATTTTGGCATTGTAGATAAGGGACTGTGGACTTAAAATTGTGAATAGCCAAATTATTTAGGCTAACTGCAATTTATACAAAACATTTCCTTTGAAAGATGATATTGAACTTCACACATTATGCTGCACAGTATTCCATGTGCAAGTATAACAACCCTTCACCCCTCCAGAATTTGGCTGACAATGATGTATATACAGAATAGGCTGGAAGATAAGAGGGCAGCCATGGTAAAAAGGCCTCTCAGCAGCCATTAGACAGGGTGTGATGGCCATGTACTGGAGTGCATTACATTATGCATAAAAAAGGTCCATATCTTTCATCTGATATGGCTTCTAAACTCAACACAGATAAGAATCAGTAAGCGGAATTATAGACAGAACTGAGAGGCGGGTACACAAAGCAGTCACCAAGAATGTCAGCAAAGGCTGACAGTCTGATTGAAAGAAGAAAAATGAAACTGTTTTTAGAGATGATAAGAGCCTGACTTGCCAGTCAAGCTTGAATTCCAATCCCAGATCTGCCACTATAAGCTGTGTGGTCTTGAGTGATTCCTTAACTTCTCTGTACTTCAATTTATTCATCAACACAGGACTGATGAAAATGCTACCTCTCTTCTGCGCTTGTTGTGAAGATTAAACGAAATGATGTGTGTGAAGAGCTTGTACAGTGCCTGCCAATGAGATGATACTCAAAATTCATATGCACAAAACAAAGCCCCAAATCTCACAAAGTATAGCAGCCTGAATAAATTTACTGCCAATTCTTCAGAACTCAGAGCATGAAGAGTGTTACCATTTAGCATAGAAAAATATCATCCTGACTGTGTTGTATGACTTTGAACATGTCATTTAACTTCTCTGAGTCTAAGAACATTAGATTAGACCATGTATTCTCAGCAAAGGTAATAAATGGTTATTTCTTTTCAGGGGGAGGGTGAAAAAATGTACTCTTTTTATATATAAAGCACAACCATACAGTACACAGTATATCATGGTATTAAAATTTCATGGGGGAGATGAGTCTACAAAGGCTCCTTAGGGAAGCAATAATGTAAAGAAAGGTTGAGAAATACTGGTTCGGAAGCACTCTAAGGTCACTTATATCCATCAAAGTTCTTTAATTCTATCTTTGCAACAATAATACCAAGAATTAAAAAAAAAAAAGTTAAATATACATTCACAAGCTTTAAGAAGGCAAAGAAAGATTTATATATTCTACAAAGATGTCCATCTAAAATAGTTAAAAATTTAAATATCACTGTATTTAAAAGAGAAAACTCTCTTTACATATAAAAGCCCTAGTTGTCATTCGTGAAGGGATCCTATGAGCCAGTTTTGCTCTGTTTTCCCTGCTTTATAGATAACAATATATCTAAATCATGTCTAAATATTAATATAATTAGTTATTTCCCTCACCATCAAATGCAGAGAAAAACAATAAGACAACCACTTGTAACTACAAAGCAACTGGAACATTGTGATTGTCTTAGCTATGATAAATGAAAAATCGCCTTGCAATATAATTCATTTTTAATTGCCTCTTCCATCTAATCCAACTACTGCTGTAGGCCGTCTTAAAATATTTACAAAGTAGAAGCAAAAAAAAAAAAAAAAAAAAAAAGAATTGGAGGTGCTAAATAAACCAGGCCACACATTCCTAAGGGATCAATTTTTTGTTAAGTTACAGGGAAAACAAGTCCTAACTCTTGTACATGGAACTTTTGGAAACACAAAGATAAAGTATATTTAAGGACTATATCTCTTAAGGTTAAAGCTGTTTTCAATTCACCTTCTTCCCTGCGTGAGTTATGATATCTTTACTATATCCAAATAACCTATTATAATAAAAGAGAAAAGTTGTAGTAAAATGTTAGAAAGACCAATATTATACTCACTCTGCTTTAACCACTTGCGAAGTTTTGTCTTTGCTAACCCAATCTTATTTTCTCCAGTATCCTAGGTATATCTAACACCACATTCAACCTCACATTCTGTCCTCACAACTCTCTTCTTCGAGTTTTCAGAGCTTCAGAGATTGTAACTAAAAATAACATTCTGGAAATGTATAAAACTTCTCCATGTCAAAATGTTATTAAATGCTTAGTCATAGTTCATTATCAGGAATATATCAGGAATATAAAGTGCTCTAATACCCATTGTATTCATGGCAAAATAGATGTATTTTGATACCAAACTGGTTTTAAGACACTTGCATTTTAATAGATAACGATGCATGTAATTTCACTTAGACACAAGCATTCCCAGTACTATATTCATGATGTAAATATCTTTTTTTACTCGTGATGAATATAAATACGCAATCTTAAAGAGATGCTAATCACTGTTTATAGTTTCTCAAATTCTAGGTGTTCAAGTGACAGAAAATTCTCTTGTAAACACATTCTATTTTGAGCTGTTCCAAATACTCTGACAAGACAAAGTAATGGGAAAAAAGATAGTAAATTAACTAAAACCCTAAATGCACATAGATTATTTCAGGGGTTTAGTGTTGGATCCATGTGTGTCTGGTCCTCAACTTAGGACGCCCCACCCAAATAGCACACTATTACAATTACCTTTAGGGATACTATTACCCTGATGCATCTGTAAACACCTGCACTCCTTACATTCAGTGTACTACAAAGTGTATTCCAAATAATACCAAGAGTATAAGATAATCAGAGCACGTAATCATTGGCAAGGTTTAGGCTGATTAAAAAAAACAAACAAAAAAAAAAACTCCATTGTAAAAATTCAAATACGTATTGTATAAACATACATTCTGAACTAAGTATGATAATACTAACTCAGCACATCACAATATAAAAACAAAAAAACATAAAATGTACTTGCGGTAGCCACATGTTTGGCCAGGTTTCCATGAGAAAGCCAAAGCAATCAAATTCTCAACTTGACAATATACATTCACCTGCCAGGGCCTTAGAGTTACCTTTGTTTGAGATTGATCCATGACGTTTTTAAGTACTCTGTGGTTTCTTTCACATTCCTTGTGTCATCACTCCCATATTCCTCCAGGAGTTTCTGCAGGACGTTATCGAATGCCATGACGATACCATCTCCAGGACCCAGTTCTTGAAGCAGTATCTGAGGTGCAAATGCAGGTCTGTTTGTTAGACTTGGTCACTCAGTAATTAGTATCATCAAAACAATAGTACTCCCAGCAGATTTTGACATGCTTTAGATACAGATATCATGAGATGAAAACAGACTGGGGGCAAATCCTTTCTTATATGAAGCAGAAACCAAAATTAGGAGAAGCGAAAAGAAACTATCTAAGAAAGTGATCAGGTACATAGATGACAATATTACAAGATTATTATCTTTTTCTTTTTGAGATATTTTCCTTCCTCAAACCATTTGCCTTTTTCATTCCTTCTGTTGTACCTCTGATCCTTACAGGGACATGCGTCACAAAGGACTGAATAGAGAGAGAGTTCCTGCATACATGCCTGGAGAAACGTGAAGGATCAACAACATGGACATCTTCCATCACTTGCCCCTGGATCACAAGGTGTGTTTACAAAGAACCACTTGAATGGATCAAGCTGCCAAGCAAGGTTTACTGAGAGTTTACTTGAATAGCCAAACTGATGCTGAATTTGTCCACTGGCATTGGTTCTTTGATAGAGTTTTTCAGCCTCTGAGAGTCTCTGGATGAAGGTACTCACCATGAAATCTAAATGACGACTGACACTTTTAATATAATGCTTTTTGTAGCAATTGGGAAGATTTTAAATCAGCCTAAGGTTTCAGAAGAAAAGAACCACACTGCTGATTAGAAAATAATCTTCTAATATGATAACTGAAACACTGACATCATTTTAATTGTACTCCTCTAGTTAAGGGGTCAGGGGCTTCACTAGGACTTAGGAATCACTTGGTGGAAACAATCAGCAATATCACAAACACAGAGAATGATCCAGAAACACGTATAACTGGCCACCTGCTTTTAAAACTGTAACCAAGTGAAGTCTGCATTAGTGGAGAATAAAAACATACTTCCACATTTTCGATTGTTTTCTACGAATACTCTCTTAAATTCTTCACAGATATACACTTCTATCTTAGGCTAGCTGAAAGGCAAATAAATGTTATACCAAACTATAACCTCACAACCAAAATCTCCAATTCAAGACTATTTTATAATTTTATACAGAGAATCTTAAAAGCACTTTTAAAACTACCATAGTTGTTCAATATTATCAACTCTATAACTGACCTGATGACAAAAAAGATGCTTGCTATTATGAAATTAATAAAACCGTTTGGTTAAAAAGACATTAAAGGAAACTAAACTTATCTGATTTGTTCACTACAGTAGCCCTCAAAAGAAAGTCTTGGAACATTTTATTAATAAAAATAACCTTCAGGGTAAGTAAGTAATATGGTTTGGATTTGTGTCCCCACCCAAATCTCATGTTCATTTGAAGGAGGAGCCTGGTGGGAGGTGACTGGATCATGGGGATGAATTTCCCCCGTGCTGTTCTTGTGATAGTGAGTTCTCACAAGATCGGATGGTTTAAAAGTGTGTGACACTTGGGAGGCCGAGGTGAGTAGACTACTTGAGCTCAGGAGTTGCAGATAAGCCTGGGCAACATGGCAGAACCCCATCTCTACAAAAAATACAAAAATTAGCTGGGTGTGGTGGTGCATGCCTGTCATCCCAGCTACTTGGGAGGCTGAGGCAAGAATCGCTTGAACCCAGAGGTGGAGCTTGCAATGAGCTGAGATAATGTAGTGAAGCATGACTGGGAGGCACCAGGAAATTTAAAATAATAGTGGAAGGCAAAGAAGAAGCAGGCACCTTCTTTACAAGGCAGCAAGACAGAGAGAGAAAGATAGAAAGGAGAAGTGCCACAGATTTTATTTATTTATTGGAGACATTGTCTCACTTTGTTGCTGAGGCTGGAATGCAGCTCCCTCACATGAACTGTGAGTCAATTAAATCTCCTTTCTTCATAAATTATCCAGTCTCAGGTAGTTATTTATAGCAATGTGAGAACAGACTAATACAGAACAGAAGGGAGCAAAAGAGGCTCCCCGGAATCTTGAAAATGTGCTCTTTCTAGATGCTGATTTGAGGGTGTGTTTCACTTGCAAAAAGTCATGCACATTCTTACTTGTTACGCCTCCAGAAATTTTTCAGAAAAATCTTCCAGATCAAATTCCTCAATAAATTTCAATATATACTCTAAGAACTTAGGAAAAAAACATGACAGGTTCCTATTGTTAAGAATTACAGTGAACAATAGGAAAAAAAAAAAAGTGTATCCAACAAAATAATACTGCCAAAAAATATCTGATGAGTCTTACTTGGTTATCAGAAATTTGTTTGGTGAGTGGATCCCGTCGGGCTTGCTGAAGAATATAGAGTCGAGCCTCATATTTTCTCATCAGTTCTTCAGTCTCCTCCCTGTGGTCATCCCACTGAAGACTGTCAATAATCATGTCCTCAAGCTGCTGCTGTCTTAGCTCAACACCATGCTGAGTGCCATCCCACTGGTTCTTGACCCTTTCCACTGAGGGTAGCATTATAAATGAAAAAAAAAAAAAAAAAAAAAAAAAAAATCCCAACATGTAACTCTCAGGAGAAAGAAAAAATACCAGATATCAAATGTATCACAAATAAGTCTATGAACAGAAAAAAGAAAGAAGGTGAGCTGATAAACACATTTTAAAGGAATTTTAATACACATCTGCCATCCTATACAATTGATATATTTCTGAAACCATGCTTGAGAAAAAAAATCTTGAACTCTATTTTCAGTGCTCTAAAACAACTCACAAGAAAATATCTACTATTATAAACAGATACTACCAAAACATTATAAAGAAAATAATTTTCTATTTAATTTTGTATTTATAGTTGTATTTATAGACCTGGTTTGATGAAGGTAGGGTTTAACAGTACTTCAGTCACTTGTTACCCTCAAAGGAGATTTTTCTCAGGCAGTCTTGATTTTAGAAGAAAATGAACTGTGTAAGAATATTTTTGCATTTATTTTACTGTAGCAGGAAAATTTTCTAAAAGGAATTTTATATGTTCAAGTTCAAGAGAAACACTAAAAGGAAAAGAGACTCATGTACTATGCACCCAGCAGCTCTTCATCATAAAAATTCCACACTGGTTCTTGTCCTTCCTCTTTTATTGTTTTTTATTTCTAGTCCTTTTACTCATTATCACCTTCTCTATTTCTCTTGTAGCTTCCTCTCTTCTTTCTCTATTTTTAACATGGTTTTACAGACAGACAGATCTAAGGAAACTTTTTTTTTTTTTTTTTTTTTTTGAGCGAGAATCTCGATCCCTCGCCTAGGCTGGAGCGCAGTGGCACGAGCTCAGCTTTTGCCTTGCTGCATCCTCCGCCCCCGGGTACAAGTGCTTCTCCTGCCTCAGCCTCCCAAGTAGCTGGGATTACAGTTGTGTGCCATCACACCCGGCTATTTTTGAATTTTTAGTAGAGACCGGGCTTCATCACGTTGGCCAGGTCTCAAACTCCTGACCTGTCTGCCTCAGCCTCCCAAAGTGCTGGGAATACAGGCATGAGCCACTGCGCCCAGTTGGAAACTTAAATTTTTATTTTTTATTTTTATTTGTATATATTGTTTTTGAGACGGATTCTCGCTCTGTCGCCAAGACTGGAGTGCAGCAACACGATCTCGGCTCAGTGCAAGCTCCGCCTCCACTTCCCGGGTTTACATCATTCTCCTGCCTCCCGAGTAGCTGGGACTACATGCATCTGCCACCATGTCCGGCTAATTTTTTGTATTTTTAGTAGAGGCGGGGTTTCGCCGTGTTAACCAGGATGGTTGCGATTTCCTGATCTCGTGATCCGCCCGCCTCGGCCTTCCAAAGTGCTGGGAGGCCTTAAATCTTTTGTAAGTGCTGCACCCAGCCTTAAATTTTGTATTAATCACTTCAGAGTTAGTTTGTAATCTTGAACTGAGGTACTAATAAACAATAACTTAGAATATCTGCAAGAACCTGCTGATAATAAGTAAGTAGAATGTTAAAACCACACTGCTGGAAGATGCTTTGATTATCAGACAAAAAGAAAGGCTATAGTTAAGTACCAGCCCAAGGAGGAATGTAACTAAAACAAAACATTCCAGCTGAGTTATCATGGAACACTTTGGCAAAGTTCTTGGTATAATACATGGTTATAGTAAAACATAAAAGCTATCAACTGGCTGGGTGCGGTGGCTCACGCCCGTAATCCCAGCATTTTGGGAGGCTGAAGCAGGTGGATCACCTGAGGTCAGAAGTTCAAGACCAGCCTGACCAACATGGTGAAACCCTCTTTCTCCAAACATTCAAAATTAGCTGGGCGTGGTAGTGGGTGCCTGTAATCCCAGCTACTTGGGAGGCTGAGGCAGGAGAACTGCTTGAACCCGGGAGGCAGAGGTTGCAGTAAGCCAAGACTGCACCATTGCACTCCAGCCTGGGCAACAAGAGTGAAATTCCATCTCAAAAACAAACAAGCAAAAAAAATAGCTATGAACTTAAGGTTGTTCAGAAGACCTTAAGTAATACTTACGTGATATCATTCTTTAAAACTTGCTCAGTGAGACAATCTGTTTTATGATGTCGTAGCTGTTTAAATAAATTGCTTAAGTTTTAAACTTAAGAGAGGACAAAACTATCATAATGTTCCATCAGTTAAAAAGTTACATAAAGTACTTATGACCAATTCTATTACTAATAGAATCCTTTAACATTAAATGAAACCAAAGACATCAAGCGAGAGTAAATATCACAGGTTTGTCATAAAAAGTAAGTAAATTGCCCCATTCACTGTGTGTTAAGCCCTAAAACCAGGTTACTATTGGTAGCAGGACATTCCCACTGAGAAGAGTTTTTCATATAATGAGGAGTGATGAAGGCTATAGAACGTCTACACACACAGAAATATTTATATATAGAGAGAAAATAGAGTGTGTACATTAAATAGAAAAGGGAAGATATTTAGGAGAAGGAAAGTCTTGTAAAAACGAATACACAAACAAACAAACACCTGAAAGAAGTTTTGGACAAAAAGAGAGGTGATAAAAAAAAAAAAAAAAAATCAAGATGATAGAAAAAGCAAACTGGAAATGGTTTTGTCAATAGTTTGGTATCACTAGAGCAGAGGAGCTCCCCTGTGATGTGAGGGAAACTGGCTCACTCCAAAGTTCCATAATAGGCACAATCCATCCATTCACAAAAAGAGAAAAGAAGGAAAACAATGTATTTAGTAAAAATAAGCCAACACTTTCATACACTAAAAGTTCTTTTCTAATGTATCTCCTATAATACCCTTGTTGCTACCATGATTTTTTTTGAAATCAAAACATACTTTTTACAGGAAGAGTAGCTGACTTCCTTCCCTTGAGAAAGATTAGGCTTTATCCTTCCAGTTTATATTTTGCCACAAGCATTTATTGGGTAGTTAATTTGTATTGGGAACTGTGAAAGGCCCGAGGGGCAGAAAGATGGATATTCACAATCTATGGAAGGGAGAGAGAATTAAACTAGTTGTGAGATCTATAATAAAGCTATGGGGGGAAAGGCCATAGAAGGAACTAAAAATAGAAATTAACATTCACCAGGGACCAGAAGAGGAGGGAAAGACATCACAAAGGGGGTGACATTTTAGCTGCTGCGTAGAATTTCACCTGGGAAGAAAAGGCCAAGAGAAAAAAAAAAAAAAAAATGTGAATAAAGATAAGAAGACCAGGAAATGTCAGGATATTTTAAGGAATAACAGCATAACTACAGGCTGGGCTGAGGGCTGAAGTGAAAGAAGGGGTAGTGGCAGCAGACTGTGACAATCCCTAGATGTGACTCTTGAGAATTTAGACTTCGTTTGCTATTGGTAGTACATTTCCACTAAGAAGGGTTTGTAGAAGCTAGATGCTTCTGAGCTAGAATGCAAACCCCAAGCAAGAATCTTTGTTTGCTATTGTTTTGTATGTTTATTTTTTGTTGTTGTTTTCTCTCATTTTTAACTAAAGTATCCCCAAATTAATGTCAGTCACATAAGCACATAGTAGTTGTTCAATAAGTATTTGTGAACTGAATTTTGGGTTGAGTTAAAATACATAGTAAGACCTGATTTTAGAGAATGCAGTATAATGAGAGAAAGGATTTGCATTCTTGTGAGTTTCTCTGACTTTTTTTTATACCTCTAAAAGAAAGCCTAAGTTAAGAGAAGAAAACCCAACGTGTAAGTAATTACTTAAGAGTCGTGATCTTAATAATTAAGGGCTTCATAAGGTCATTGTAACAATGTTCACAAAAGATAAAAACAAGGGAAAGCTACGTTTCTGTATAAATAAAGAGTAACAAATATTAAACACTATTACTCTAAGTTGAATAATCTTTGAAAATGTGTGGGGGGTTTTTTGTGTGTGTGTGTGTATGTGTGTGTGTGTCACCATTTGCAGGGAAAGTGGATGATGATACATAACTTTAAAAAAAAAAACTTACATTTTTCTGTAATTGCTGTTCTCACATCGGAACTGGAAGCTTTATTTTTCAAATTCTGTGCCAATGTAAAAACATAATCGAGCTGAGGATGGCGCTGTTCTAAGTCAGCCTTTGTAATCTGTTAAGTAGAAATGATTATTCGGATAGGTTAATAAGCCATATGAGAAGAATAATAAGCAAAACAGATGTGCTGACATCAAAGTTGTCATTATTTTCCTTCTCTCCGGCACAGTGAGGCATCAGCAACATGGCAGAAAATGAGTGCATGATTTAAAGTCAAAGATCCTGCATTCAAATCTCAGTTCTTCCATTTAGCACCTGAGTCACCAGAAAAGGACCTTTACCTCTCTGTGTTTTTGTTTTCACATAAAAGAAATAATAAAATACTGACACCTCAAGTACATCCAGTCTGAGGACATTAAATAAAGAAAATCCCTTCAAAAGCTGAAAAATGCCCTGAAACCATTAGCAGTTAGTGCTGCTGCTGATGCCTTGCATATGTGTTCTGTGTCAGATATGAACACAAACTAATGTCGTAGGGTTGGGGATGACATAGAAAAGTGCTAAGAGGAATAACTATAAATTAAATCCTCTTAGACATGAAAAACTGCTGCTGTAGGTGGTTTGTCTCTCAGTGATGATAAATATGGGAGAAATGGCAACAACATCAGGAAAATCATGTGTTTTCAGTACAGAACTAATAACAGTCAAAGAGACTAAAAAACAATTTACAAAAAATACAAATAGTGGCAAATGACTTTTTCCCAGTCCTTCCTCTTTACAAATTCACCAATTTTGTAGATTTCAGCTACTCTTCTGGTGTCAAATGATTGCTCACATCTTTCAATCCTAAATCCCAGGGCACATGAATGTTGATCACTTACTTTCTTCTAAATGGCATAAGGACTCCTCACCACAACACATCTGAAACTAAATCACTCAAACTCTCATTCACACTCCATGTCTTCTATTCCTTATTTCCACTAATTGCAACAGCATCATCTTAATCATTTCAGAAAGGGCTCTTTGCCTTGATTTAAGCATTTCTTGCCTCCAATCCATCCTAGTCTTCTACTAAAGCAGAGCATTGCTATCATGAGTTTCTAGCCATAATTTTAAAAAAGAAAAAAAAAATGAGAAGAAAATACTTACCAATTTCTTACAGACTAAAAATCCAAAAGGCTTTGCACAGCCTGCAGACTCCTTCACAAAGGGAACTTGAACTGCTTTTCCTGCCTTGCTTCACACTATATTTTTTAATTGCACAAATGTTGGCCCTACTGTCCTTCGTGCCTCCTGTACCACATGACTTTATTCACTCTGTTCCCTATACCAGGAATGTCATCACTTTATCTTAGATACCAAAACCCCACACAGTTTGCTTTCCATCACTGGAGAAGGGATCCCCTTCCTCATCCTGGCTCCCCCAACAGGTTGCTTGTACTTGTCCTGAGGCTTTTATTAGACTCTTGCCTTGCCACAGTAATTTGTCAACTCAAATGTACTCAGTGCCTCTGCCTCGGTATGGGCTTATTTGTAATGTGGGGATAGAAACAGTACCTACCTCACAAGATTATTACATAACTGAATGAGATAACATGTATAAAATACTTAGAAAAATGACCAGCACACATGAAGCACTTAATAAAAGTTAACAATAGCTGTTATTATTATTTTATTGTCGATTCCTAATTTCTACCAAATTCTTGTCAGTATCCTTGTACTACTTGCAACCCAGAACTTAGCACACACTAAATAGGGAAAAATAATTTTACAAATTAATATTAGATGGTACATGTATAGTAATAAAAGTATAGGAGATACTGACTTCTCAAATCAGAAAATAATCTCATTATGAAATATATGTTGCAAAGGCACTTTAGGAGATTATCCTACATCACACAATAGGCATGAAATGTTAACACCAGCTTATGTTTATACTAATGTGCCTAGCTTTATGGTATCAGTTTTAGATTTTAAAAATGCACTGGGTCTTTAGTTTAAGTCATATCACAACAGTATAAATGCAAGAAAGGTTCTATGCTTTGTAGTTAGCCCTGGATGGTTGTTTGACAGATACAGAATTTTTTAAACCTCATTCTCTCATAGTTTAGAATAAACAAAAGGGATTCAAACAGATCTAGTCTACTTCTGGGTTGTGGTGTTTCCATGACAAGCCTTTACCCTATGCACCTACTTTCATTCGGGAAACGGTCTTATTGATCTCTTCTACATCCCCGACAGTGACAATGTTGGACTTCAGCATCTGGTCGATTAATACCAGCCAGTCGGCTAGTTCTGTTATAGTTTTATCAAGATCAGCAGGAATTGAAATTTCTGAAGTACGATGAGACTGAACAGGAATATCTGACGCAGATGATACTAGCACCACCTTTTGGACACTAGGATGAGCTGAAATAAAAAACGTAGCAAAAGAGAAATCAATCAACAGGATGTTTTAATTATGGTGGTGTCACGGTGCATATGTATGTGTATTTAAATAAAATTTAGTTTAAGTGAAAAAACTCTAAGAGGTTATTTTTTCATACTGAAATGGCTATGGCATTACCTGTAATATCCGCATGTCTTTGGTAGCTATCAAGCCAACGAAACAGTTTTGCAACATTCTACAATGTAATCAACACTGACACTGAGAAAAACTAAAAATACAAATGTGGGAGAATTGGAAGTATTATTTTATTTTGGCAAGATGATTTTAATTATAAAGCCAACTTATTCAAAATTTTTATTCTTTTTTCATTTAACTTTATAATGTGAGCATATTTTATTCTTATTAAACACAATTGTGAATACCTATGTAATAACCTATACCCATGTTCACTTTTATTTAACCCTTTGATATTTAGATTGCTCCTGAAATTTTATTTTAATTTTAAAAAAACTTGGAAGGAATATCTTTTTGTGTAGAGTATGTGGCACATTTCTGATCCCTATCTTAGTATAAATTTCCCAAGTAGAATTACTGAGTCAGGAAATACAAAAAAAGTATGTATTTAATATCCATTGCCACATTGATGGGTTTTGATAAAATAAGTAGTTGAATTAGTAACTAAAACCATCTGTAACTGACTTCAGGTATGATATATTAGATGAGGCTTAAATAATTTTCTAAAATGTACAGCCAATCTGTAAATTCAGCACAATCCTAATAAAAATCCCAACAGGGTTGAGTGTAACTTAACAAAATCATTAATTGAAATTTCTGGTTATAAAATTAATATAAAAGAGAAAACGACAAAAAACAGTCAATTTTATTATTATTATTTTTTTTGGTAGAGGAATATGCCCTTCCCAGATACTAAGTTATATTATTTAGCTAATAATTATTAACTCAGTATATTATGGACTGAGACATTTAAAGAGACCAACAGAAGAGAAGAGTCACAGTGTGTAGGTGGCAGAGAAATCTGACCTTGGCAGAGACTGAATTACAGATCAATGAAGAAGAATTTACTGCTCAATAAAGTGGTGACTCACGGCTGCAGCAGGGAAAAGACGGGACTGATTGTAACCTCACATGCACCATAGAAAAATTCATTCTTAGTGGATTAAGGACCCAAATATGAAAAACAAAATTGTTAGTTAAAAATATGGAATATTTTTATTACTTCAGAGGACTGAAGTAGCTCTCAAACAAAACACAAAGAAGGGAAGCTATTAATAAACCATTAATGGTTAAGAATTCCAAAGAGCACCATAAGTAAAGATTTTAAAAGCCTTTGAAACAAGAAAGGAGATGGTATTTGCAATGCACATTCCACACAAAGAGCTGATAACCAAAATACTTTTTCTAAAACTTAAAAAATCGTCTAAAGACAATCCACAAAAGAGGAAATTTAAAAGGCAATAAACATAAAAATGTGAAATAAATGTTCGACCTCATCTATAACTGAGATAGTACAAATTAAAAGGAAATACCCTATATCCAATGACCACCATCAGCAAAGTGACATCTGAGAAGCTCCAGGTTTCTAGAGACCCTTCCAAGGGTCAAGATGCCTACACTATTACCATCAGCATATTATTTGCCTTTTTAGGCTCATTCTCTCCCAAGTGTACAGTGTGTTTTATCTAAGTCTACATAACATGTGATATCACAAGAGACCAAATGCAGAAGCAGAAATAAGAATACAGGTGTGTTCTATTAAGCTGGACATTTAAGAGATTTCAAAAAATATAAAACTGTAGCTTTTCCAGGTTTTTGTTTGTTTTAGAAAATAGTTGGTTTTTTGTTTGTTTGTTTGTTTTTTCTTTGAGATAGGGGCTCACTCTGTCACCCAGGCTGGGATGCAGAGGCATGAAAACAGCTCACTGCAGCCTCAACCTCCTGGGTTCAAGTGATTCTCCCACTGCTGCCTCCTGAGTAGTTGGAACTATAGGTCTGCATCACCAAGCCTGGCTAATTTTTTTTTTAAATTTTTTGTAGAAACAGGGTCTCCCTATGTTACCCAGGCTGGTCTCAAACTCCTGGGCTGAAGTGATCCTCCTGCCTCAGCCTCCCAAACTCCTGGGATTATAGACATGATCCCCTGTGCCCAGCATCTTATACTAATATGTTACAAAACATGCTATTTTTGTTAACATATAAAACCTTTATTATTATTATTAAAGAACTTAATAAATGAATTAATGGAAATGTTTTCTAGTTAGGTAAATATTGATAGATATCACTCACAAAAACAAAAGCTCTTTGAGAGTCCTCAATAATTTTTACAAGCGTAAAGGGGTCCTGAGAACAAAGTGTTGAGGTGCTGGTAATGTTGTAGAACAATAAGAACCCATCACACACAGCCAGTGTCAGTGTAAACTGGGTCAAGTAATCTAGACAGCACCCTAATGGCACTACTGAAGTAGAAGGCACCCATACGCTATAACCCAGTGATTCCGTCAATAGATACATACCCTACAGAACAACTCACACATCCTTCTGCCCAATCTTCACTTTTAACTTTTTTTTGTAGTTAAAAAAATTTATTGTTTTAATTCACCAAATACCTATCAAGAACCTATTATGTGTAAGGTACTATTCTAGATGCTGCAAGGCATGGGAGTGTGCAAGACAAAGTTCGGGCTGAAGTGCAATGGTGCGATCTCGGCTCACTGCAACCTCCATCTCCTGGGTTCAAGTGATTCTCCAGCCTCAGCCTCCCGAGTAGCTGGGATTACAGGCACCCGCCACCAGCTAATTTTTGTATTTTTAGTAGAAACAGACTTTCACCATATTGGCCAGGCTGGTCTTGAACTCCTGACCTCAGGTGATCCACCCGCCTCAGCCTCCCAAAGCGCTGGGATTACAGGCGTGAGCCACCACGCCCGGCCAGAGCTTGCATTCTATAGCGAAAATGGATGTGTATCATGAAGTAAAATCAACACAAGAAGACAAAGAGAGACAGGGTGTATCTGAGATATTGTGGGTATAAAAGGGCTATCCTAGAAAGGGATATTTGAAGAAGAACTAAAGGAAGTGAGTATGTGAAACATGAAAATATCTGAGAGAAGAACATTTGGGGAAGACAAGAAGAATGGCAAGCACAAAGACCAGAAATGCATATGTTCCTGGCATGTTTGAAACAGCAAGAAGACCAGCGTATTTGAAACCGAATGAACAGAGGGAAAAGTAATAAGAAATGTGATTAGAGAGACAGGCAGATATGCATGGTGTTCTGGACCAAGACCAGACTTTGGAACTCATTTATGTGGATGGAAGTGATTAAAAGACTGTGATCAAAGAAGCAACACAATCAAACTTATGTTTAGAAAGCATCACTCTATCTGTTATCAGAGGAATAGGTCATGGAGAAGCACTGAGGCAAGAATAGAATCAGGATTATGGTTAGGGGTATATTCCAACAATCTAGATAGAAAGATGAGGGTGTTCAAGACCATGGAAGTAGGTAGAATGGAACATGGAAATGATACTACTTGCTGATGGCTTGAATATTAATTCCAGAGAAGGGTTGAGGTTGACTCCAAGTTTATTGGCCTAAGGACTGGGTGAATCATCTACAGTTAAAAAAAAAAAAAAAATTGTCTACAGTTCTGGGACTGGTAAGCATAGGTACAGAACAGAATTTACAGGATTGTAGTATATCCAATGTTATGTAATATTGTACATCAGTTTAAATGAGTAAACTAGAACTACATGCATCAAAAGGTATGGCAATAAGGATGATCCAGTAGAGTATTAGATAAAGAGGATATGTAAGCAGCCCAAAGAAGATGGGATCCTATGCATAAGTGGAGGAGTTTGTCTTAGAAAGGAAAAGAGATAATAACCCTTTCTCTGAACAGGAAGGAAGTATGTAGAGTGTATGAGTACAGCTTCAGGTAGCTTGATGGATTCTCTGGTGGGAAAATGAAAAAGATTTTATCTGGGAAAAAAAAAAGTTTTTGTTTCTTCCTTTAAAAATGAGATGAGGTCATTAGTTGAGAAATGAGTACCAAGGAGTACTCAGAAGAAAGTATGGTAGGACTGTCTCTTAGTGCTGAGTGCTTATTTGAGATAGATAGTCATAGCTCTGAAATGAGTACAGTCAGCAAGGTGTTGGCAAGGATGAACCTCAAAAACATTATGCTAAGTGAAAGAAGCATCGTACGATTCCATTTATATGAAATATCCAGAATAGATAAATCCATGGAGACAGAATGCAGATTGGTAGTTGCCAGGGGCTGGGAGTAGGAGGGAATGAGAAGAAACTGCTTAATGAGTAAGAGGTTTTACTTTGGAGTGATAGAAATATTTTGGAACTAGATAGAAATAGTGGTTGTACAACATTTTGAATGCATTAAATGTCACTAAATTGTTCACTTTAAAATGGTTAATTTTATTTTCTAAATATAATGTTAAAAAGAAGAAGGAACTGCATTAAAACACTGTATTGGAGGAGAGAGACATACTAAGATTAGCTTCAGGTCTCAGGCCCGTCCCAAGAACAAATAACTTGTTAAAAATGAGCCATCCACCTAATGGAAGTTGTAGCTTCACTGTTAGCTTTTTATACTTCTAAATATGTATTCAGATTTTCCCTGCTCTTTTACCATAATGAAGTTTTAAAAAGAAAGATAACCCATGACGATTTTACAAAATGCATCAAATTCGTTCTCTATGATTATGGAGTTGAGCTTGTATTTGCAAAGCAGCAGTACCCAAATGTCAACTCAAGTGTTCTGAATATTAATCAAGAAACTTGATCAGGCCCCCAGGTATTTTTTGTGCAAATTTCCAGAAAGACAAGTAATAAAGAACGCAAACATGGCCCTCAATTAGCTTGCAATCTCAAAAAATGAAAAAAAGAAAATCTTGTCTCTCATCACTTTTTCCAAACTTGAGGGGAAGGAGGAGGAGAAGAAGAAAAGAAAAATAAGAGGAATAAGAGAAATAAACAGGACTGGAAAAAAAAAAAGAGGCGGAAGAGGTAGAGGTGGAGGGAAGAGGTAGAAAGCAGAAGGTGGACATGGAAGTCAAGGAGGAGGAGAAGGAGGAGGGAGAAGAAAAAAAGCAGGGAGGAGCAATAAAAAGAATCAGCAGAAGCAGCTGGCAGGGTGTGAGTGGACAGTTAGTCACATTTGGGGTTTTGACATGTGACTCAACAGAGGAAGAGCACGGCATGATTGTTCAAAAAATCTACAAGGCAGTGGCGACAGTGGCTATGGGGCAGCAGCCTGCAATCTAATCTGGATAAAGAGAGAAGGAAATAGTGGAAAACATTCTTCTTTCTCCACATCCAAGTGAGTAGTATTTGTCTCCTAGCATGGAGAATGCTTCTAAATCCCCATCTCCCACCTGCCTCCCAGGATATCTAAGCCTTTTGTTCTCAGTCACAATCAAGGTCTAATTACATATCCTAACCAAGCTCACATTAACACAGCAAGTTATAGCTGATTTCCTGCAAAGTTGCATGGACCCAGAAAACTAGTCCCCAGTTTTTGCACCTAGCCTCTCATCTTCCCTTCAGCAGGACCTGTGGATGCCCAGGTAGCCCTGGAGTCCAGAGAAAGGCCAGCCTTATCTACCGTGAGAACAAATGCCTTGCCCATACTGGGCAGCCAAATTTGTCTTGGGTTTAAGACGATGTTTTCTTCAAATCATTGAAAGTAGACTAAATAAAGAAAATGGCACAATGTGACTAAATAAGTCTTTCTAATTCATATATGAGGCTCATATCACAAAATTTTACTTTATTGATTTTTTAAAAAATTTTGTTAAAGATAAACTATATCTTACCAGCAATCCTTGTCTGTGAAACAGAACTGGGCTCCTGGATGCACTCCTTCAGGGTGGTAGGCACTTCTCTGCAAATCTACCATATCAGGACAAACAGAAAGAGAAAAATACTATATAAATAAAGATGACTGTAGTTCAAAAGAGGAGGTGTTATTCTGAATGGCAGCTCTGCCACTCTTCTTCCCCTAACCACCTAAACTTCTGGCTCTACATTCACTCTCCACTGCAATCTTGTTTGAGCCCCTAACTCCGCTGACATTGCTATCAAAAACACCAACCAGTCCTTAGCTGTCCTGACCCATGTGTACCAGTTAATGCTGTCCACTCCCCCTCCCTGGAATTCTGTTATCACTCTGCAATTCTAGCTGTCCTCCTGCCTCTCTGGCTGGCTCTCCTCAATTTCCTTCACCAGCTCCTTTTCCTCTGCCCATCCATCAAATACCAGTATCCTCCAGGGTAGGTGTGTTGCTCTTCTAGCCCTTCACCCTGGGCTCTCCCTGAGTCCTGGTTTCCAAAGGTTTCAGGAATCAAATGGAGTTTTGAGAGGTTATTTTGAGAGGCTAAAGACTGCCCAAAACATATCTTCAGTCCAGCCCTTTCTGTGAACTAGATATTCAGACATGTCCAAATCTGAATTCCTTTTCCCTGTCTTCCCTGATACCCATTTCATAAACTCCTCTGAAGATTCTAATTTTTCTGTATCAATTCTTAGGATCACTCCATCTATCTCTGTAGTAAAGCTATAGCAATGTTTCAAAAATATGACTTTCCTCTGCTTAAAACCCATCAATAGCTGCCCACTACCCTCAAAGTGGTAGACTGTTTGCAACACGGAGCTCAAATTCCTTGTGATGCACAGTGAGTCCTCCAGGCTCTCATCTCTGAGAACATCCCTCAGCCTTTCATTCTACATTGAGCTACTTCCTGGACCTATATATACACTGTGCTCATTCTCTATTTCTTCTAGACACTTTCATTTGCCACTTCTCTCTACATTCCCCTTTCCCTCATTCTTCATCCGACCAATTCTTATTCATCCTTCATAAATTAACTGGAATGTGATCTTTTCAACAAAACCCTCCACAGCTACCCCTCCAAGCCAGGCAGGTGCTCCACCTTTATGTGCCTATCAGTACCTGGATATTAGAATTGCTTGTCTACTGGTCTCATCCATGATAAGCTCCTTGAGTTAGAAGGAATGCCGTGCTCTTTAATGCATTCCCATCTCTTAAAATGATACCTGGCAGAAAGTGAGACTCCAATAAAAACCTATTGAGTGAATGAATGAGTGTATGAATGAATGAAATATCCCATGTTAGAATTAACCAAAGTATGTTTGTTGAGATTTTCTGCACAATGAGCATTCTTGGCTCCAGACATTCAAAATTCACCAAAGTGAATTATATTAAAATCTACATGAAATCCTGCAATAACAAAAGCACTAGCTTTGTCTGACATAGTGGACCCAAATTAACCACTGTTCTCTTTTCTGCAGAATACCCACTGATACCCTTCGTGTTAAATAAATATGTGTGCTTTGACTGAATATGGACAGCCTTTCTGGCAAGGGACACAAGACCTAATATGCCTGGAAAGGAATGTAGGGGAGAGAGAGCTGTGGATATTGTAGGAGAGATCAGATGATGCCAGGCCATGAGAAGTCTTATAAGCCAAAAATGCATTTTGGCTTTGACCCTGAGCAAGAGAAAACCATTGGTGGACTTTGCTCAGAGAAGTCACTTGATCTGAACTGTGTTTTAACCAATCATATTGACGGCTTTGTCTAGCACAGAATAACAAAGGGCAAAGGAAGAAGCAGGGGAGATCAGTGGGGCAGACTTTGTAGTCACCAAGGCAAGACATAATGGGAGGCTTGAAACAAGTTAGTGGCAATGGGGGTCATGAGAAGCAGTCAAATGTATGATGTTTTTTGACCTAAGAAGAGTTGAAAGAATTGTAGTGGAAACATCTATGTGCCATCTGACATCTACAACTGTCAAACCTCTGCTACGTTTGCCTTATCATATGTAGCCATCTGGCTAGCCAATAAACTCCATCCAGTAGATATGCACTTTCAAGAAAAAGCTGATAATGGTGACTGAGGTATAGTTTTTGGTTTGGGGGTTTTCTTCGCTTCTTTTTGTGATAGAATTCATATACCATAGGATTGACTCCAATGTTTCTGACTTAAGTAATAATAAGGATGAAACTTCCATTGACTAAGGTGGGAGATGTACATGAAGGCACAGAAGGGAGAAGGATATCAAGAGCTCGATTGTGTATGTTAGTTTGAGGTGCCTACTAGACATTTAAGGAGAGATGTTGAGCAGGTAGTTGTATATGCAAGTCTAGAGTATGGAGAAAGGTCCAGACCAGAGATACACATGTGTGAATCACAGTGACTCAACAGGCAGTGAGACCAGATCAATAAAGCACCTGCATCATTAGCTATAGGATAATGGCTACCATTTAAAGAGGATGAGAGAGAAAATGACTGATATGGAGTCCATCCAAACCAAGGACAGAGATATATCCATTTAATGTCCTATATAGACCTCATACTCTGATATGGTATGTACTAGGTCTAACAACAAAAAAAAAATCTATGATTTTATCTACTTTTAACAGTTCAATGGCAAAAAAATAATAATAATGGTAGGAGGGAAAAATATCTTAGCTGTATTTGTAGTCATATGCCATTACATTTCACTGGAACCTAGTAAATATATATTTAATGAATAAAATCATTGAAAATAAACATACATGTGTGAAAAGTCATGTGCAAAATCAGGATGCTATTTTCTTTTTTGTTTGTTTGTTTGTTTGTTTGTTTGTTTTATGAGACAGGGTCTCCCTGTCTCACCCAGGCTGGGGTCCAGTGGAGTGACTGCAGCTCACTGCAACCTCCACCTCCCAGGTATAGGCAATTCTCGTGCCTCAGCCTCCCAAGTAGCTGTGATTACAGGCATGTGCCACCATGCCTGGCAAATTTTTGTATTTTTAGTAGAGATGGGGTTTCACTCTACTCTACTAAAGTAGAGTGTTGGCCAGGCTGGTGTCAAATTCCTGGACTCATGTGATCCCGCCCATCTCGGCCTCCCAAAGTGTTGGGATTACAGGTGTGAACCAATGCACCCGGCTCAGAATGCTATTTTAAGGTCTTCATTTTCAGAATATAATCACTGGAATCTTCTTACCTAATTCCAACATATATTCATTATTTAATGTAGTATATAATGTATAAATTCCCTAGGCCAAAGAGTTCCATATAAAATAAAAAGTATTCTTCCAGAATATATGCCTCTATCTATGATCGATAAAAAATATAAACATTAGTAAGCTTTAGTAAAATTTGCCCCATTTGGATATACTTGAAAGTAAAGCAGTTACATGATCCCACATCTCTGACAACAAAATCAATCAGTTTGAGATATGTGTGATAGTAACTTTATACACACCTTATTCCATGTCATATTTACAGTCCTTAAGCTTTCTGAAATTTTATCCCTTTCAGGTAAACTCAGACTTTTATCTGAAAGTATCTCCAATTCAGTTCTATTCAGCCATTTGAGTTTTTCAGCGTGTACTTCCATTTCTTGAGTTAAGTCCTGGAGAAGTTAAAAGACAGGTGTGGTTAGAAGGTAATCAGATAAAGGAAAGTTCAAGAACTGTATTAGAAACCTTTTTGACATTATATAAACGTAAATTTCTAATTTGTTAAGTGAAAAATAAACTTATAAGAAGCTTAAGCTCATGCTAACAAATGATGACTAACGGGAGTGAGCACGTGCCTTCCGTGTGTATTTTTGCAATCCTGGGCACAAATGTGCTCTCTGGTACTCACTGTCTCTTAACCAGGTCATATATTATTTTTACATTGCTAATTTAACATTCTGTTCTTATCTCCTCCTTGCTATTCCATCCTAATATACTGTCCCACCTTTTCTAACTCTCCCCAAATTGTTTACAAAAAAGATATTCCCAAAGAAACTATTGAAAATTTTAGACAAAAAGGAAGTTTGTTAGATATTGTCACATTTTAAAAAGAAAACATAATATATGTTTCACAAAATATTTTTCATCATTATTCAATGTTTCTTTCTCAAAATGTTTCAATCATACTCCTTTATAGACAAAATTTCTGATTGAATTAGTAAGTAACCTTTCACATACACTTTTATGCTTGTACATGTATGAATACACATTCATAATTTCTCTTTTTTTTTTTTTTTGAGACAGACAGAGTCTCACTCTGTCACCCAAGCTGGAGTGCAGTGGCACAATCTTGGTTCACTGCAATCTCTGCCTCCTGGGTTCACGCCATTCTCCTGCCTCAGCGTCCCGAATAGCTGGGACTACAGGCGCCCACCAACAAGCCCAGCTAAATTTTTTTTTTTTTTTTTTGTATTTTTAGTAGAAATGGGGCTTCACCATGTTAGCCAGGATGGTCTTGATCTCCTGACCCTGTGATCTGCCCGCCTTGGCCTTCCAAAGTGCTAGGATTACAGGCATGAGCCACAGCACCCGGCCCACAATTTCTTTTTTAAAATAAAAATGTGAGCATATGATGTTGAGTGTTCTGCAACAAGTATTTTAATTTTTAACACAAAAAATAAATATTTATGAATACAAAATTTATGGATATTTAGATATATTTATACATCTATATATGTATGAATTTTTATAGATTGTATACATATACAACCATAAACAATACTTGTTAGTTGCAAACCAACAAAGAAAATCTGATTAATACAACCATGATGCTAAAGCCATTGCAAGCTGCATTTTGTTTCTCAGCAGTTCACTCCGATAATTACTGATTATTTTCTATAAAGTTGAGTTTTGCAGCTTTATAGATAATAATCAGTAATTGTCTTCCAAATCTAAAAACAAAAAAACTGTATTTCATAGCCCTATTTTATTTTAAAATGATAAAGTCAGTTTACAATATCCTAAAAACCTTTGGTCTAATACTGACACCATAACAGTTTGTTCTTTTTATGTAAGTGAAGTTTAAGCTCTGCAAGACCAAAATTATAACTGCTTTTAAAAAAAATAAAAGATATTCCTCTTTCAAGTTCACCACATTTACCAAAAAGTACCAAGTTTCTTTTCCCTTTTCTTCTTCAGACATGCAGTATATGATTCTGAAGTATAATGTTTGGGCACCAAAGGCATATAGAGAGAAATAAACAACTTACTCTTAATTCTTGCAGGTTTTCTCCCAATTCGGTGGTCGATCTCTTTTGCATAGCACGCTCAGCCTTTGTTAACCAACAGATAATCCCATCTAGCTGATGCCTGTACTCCATCACCTGCTTGCTTTCTCCTTTCAGCCTAAAAGAATATATTATTTAAAAATATTGAGGAAAAAATGCCCAATTAAGCAGAAAGTTATATATTTGCTTTGGATATCCTGAATAAATATTTCCCAAAATAAATAATTTCTAATAATTATTTTAATATGTATTTTTAAGTGAAACTATGTATTCTACAATGCTAAAGACTGCTTAATAATAGACCAATAAGTTTTTTCTTCATTAAATTCAAAACCATTGAAACTAAAGATTATTATCTTCCCTCATCATAAAAAATTATGTAGAAATTCAATACAAAAGATGTTTTAAAAGTTAGATACCACTCTGCAACATAATGGAAATTTTTTAAAACATGAAAAATGTCTTTATCTAAAATAATAGGGAAAAAGTATAATTCTCTTTGAGTGTTCCACGAATACTGAAAGGAATCATTATATGACATGTTATCACATTAGGTGGTAACTATCACTATACGTTATTCATAGGACAGAAAGAATAAGAAAAAAGCAAGGTACCAAGAATGCGAGAATCTTACAAGTATTAGGGAAGACAAGAAACATGTGAATTTGGCTTGTTTATTAAAATAACCATTATATTTGAATATAGAACTAAGTTACAAAAAGATGTAGACAAAAAGCAGAAATTTTAAATGATGCAAGGAAAACAGTCAAATGAATATAAAAAAGGAACTGCCTCAATTAGATCTTTATAGTGTTGTAAGAATAACATTTATAAGAATATAAACCATCTGTCAAAAGATAGGAATATGATTAGAACTCATATGACAAATAAGATTATGTGCTTTTTAAAAGGATTTGAAAGCTATTAAAAGCCTGTTGGTATCTTTATTTTTATAGCTGCTATGATTAACTGCTGGTTTAAAAACTGAATGCAGTTTTTAAATGAATTATGTCATATCATCCCTAATAAGAATTTATGGTTTTACAGCTAGGAGTTTTCATTTTTATTCACAAAAGGTATAACATAATCTTGCAATATATGTAATAAAATACTAAATAATACTCACATATTTAATAAACAGTCAATATTTGATGTATAATGTTTAAAAAATGAAAATCACTACAAAATCATAATTTTTAAGTATCCATCGAGAAAGAATGCTCCTTTGAGATTAAAAATAAATAAATACAGCAATAGCACTAATTACTAAGACTAAACCAAGTAATCTACCCTCCATAGTGAAAAGTATTTAACTTAAATAATGACTTCACCCAAAATATTATTATAGGCCTTTGTTTCCAAAAAACGGTTGAAATTTCACTTTCCAATGTTTCATGATCATGACTAATTTAGTACTTTGAAAACAGAACTATAAAGGAAACTAGCATTATCAAGTGATTTCAATAAGATATATTTGAGTCACCCAATATTTTTCATCTGCAAATTAGCTAAATATAATCTACCTTTTAAATGTTACCTCCTAGAGTAAAAACAAATTATAAATTCATGTTCTAACAGAAGATAAGCATTGCTCACTAATGAATAACCCACTGGGCATGGTGGCTCATGGCTGTAATCCCAGCACTTTGAGGGACTGAGGCAGGAGGATCACTTGAGCCTAGGAGTTCGAGACCAGCCTGGACAATATGGTGAGACCTTATTTTTACAAACAATTTAAAAATCTGCTGGGTGTGTTGGCACACACTTGCAGCCCCAACTACTTAGAAGACTAAGGTGAAAGGATTGCTTGAGCCCAGGGGCTCAAGGATGCAGTGAGCTATGACTCCACCATTGCACTCCAGCCTGGGTATCAGAACAAGACCTTGTCTCCAAAAAAGGGAAGAAATAACTCCGCAGGTTGCTGAACTATGCAAATACTTAACTACAGGCACTCAATACAAAAACAAATTGAACTGCGTGATAATTTTCAATGACTTTATTAACAATATATATACAATCTACCCAAGATGGTCCCAATTTAATATAGATTACAAACCTAAAATGAAGTTTAGCATTAATTTATGAAGATAAACATTGTTTTAGTCAAAATATAAGCTGTTGGAGAAGAGATTCATTATTCTTTTCACTTCCACAAAATGAGTAAAAACATGTATTAGCTTCACCTTGTGAGTTTTAGCAGCTGTAATTACCACACTCCACAGAGATCTATCTTTAGAAGAATTTCTGCATTTATGGTTAAAACCCTCTCAGCAGGTACATGTTTTTCCTTAAAAAGGTCTAGGAGAGGACAGGCACAGTGGCTCATGCCTATAATCCCAGAATTTTGAGAGGCCAAGGCTAGCAGATCAACTTGAGGCCAGGAGTTCTAGACCAGCCTGGCCAACATGGTGAAATGCCATCTCTACTAAAAATATGAAAATTAGCCAAGCATGGTGGCAGGCACCTGTCTTCCCAGCTACTAAGGAGGCTGAGGCATGAGAATTGCCTGAGCTCAGGAGGCAGAGGTTGTAGTGAGCTGACATCATGCCACTGCACTCCAGACTGGGTGACAGAGCAAGACTCTGTCTCAAAAAAGCAATAAAGGTCTAGGAGATAAATCATTTCAAGCTAAGACCCTCCATGCAAACTGAATAGCATGACATATAAGATCTTATGGGACCTCATTTTCCAATCCTTCCCCTGGTCATTGAACCCTCCTCTCCTTTCAATCCTTTGCAGATCTCTCACACGAGGATGCCATTCATACTTCCCACCTCTGCTATTTTACTTCTTCTGCTTAGAAATTTATAGGAAATTGCTATAAATGCTTTAAGACTCAGCTTTGGCATACTTCCTCTGTGACACTTAAATTCCACAGCCCATCATATCTGCCTCTGTGACACTCTTATCTCTTTAATGATGTTTTCTTTCATCATTTTCTTATTCTTAGAGTTCCTTAATCACACTTGTATCTTCAGTGCTAAACATAGAGCTCAATAAATATCGATCAAGTCATTAATCAATCATTGGCAAAATTCAGCAATATGCTTAGAGAATAAGTTCTAAGCTAACTTGCTTTCATCAAAAATAGATACTTTAAGTGTTTACTATGAATAGTCAAGGCATGTACATTTTGCAAACACTATTGCATTTAATCCTCATGACAATCCTCTGTGGTGATATCATAGTTCTCATTTCCAGAGGAAGACACTTTGGCCAGAGAGTTCTGTGTTCTTTCTAAATTTGTACAGCGTAATATTTGAGAGCATAAGATAGCACGATCGCTTACTTTCTATGACATCTTGGACAAGTTACTTAACCTTGCCTCTCTTAGCCTCAGTTTCTAAAGCTGTACAAGGCCTAATAGTTGCCTAAGAGGTGAGTCATGACTCCTAAACAAGGCAATGTGTGCAAGGTGCCAAATACTCTTTCTGCCATGTGGTAATCTCTCAACCAAAACATACAAATTATTATTTGTCTCTTAACAAAACACACAAAATTATAGATTTTTTAAATGAAAACCAACTGTAGGTTACATGATCCTTGAATATTTTAGGTTGCATAATACTGGACCTGATAAAGTATTAGATTGGCCTTTCACAAAATGATAGCTTATCACTAAAATAATACTTCATCAACAGAGTTAAAATTAACAGAAAAAAAATATAGTGGAATTTTTAACCCTAAACTACAAACAAGAAACAAACAAAAAAGATCATTAATGATGAAATACATGAAGCAAAGTAGAAATCATTCATTCAATCTTGACTGTCTCAGAAAATAATGTCAAATAATTTTAAATATGGAAATTGTGTATAGTGTTGCGCATTATATTCCTTGGTAATCAAACATATTTGCAACCAGAAGATGCCCAAATAAAATCTGAGTCACTGTAACATAATCTGACATAAAAATTAATAATACTATATTATATTAGTATATTACATAGATGAAGAACTTTATTATTTGCAAAGCACGAATAGAACACAACATTTGACACTAAAACAACTTAGTGAGACAGATTACTAAGGTAGGCTCAGTCAGGAAATAAGCAAAGGGAAGGTCTGATCTTGAACCCAGACTTTCAAACCTGAAACCTGGAGTTTCAGTTATTTCAACTACTTTAAATTCCCACCGTAATCACCATATCATAATAAGCAGTTGTAAATAAAAGGAATAAAGGTGTTTGGTTTTTACATATGTAATATTTGAGTAGAAAAGTGAGACTTTATGGACAGCCTAAAAATACAGGAAGGGGGAAAGTGGGCAGCAGAGGTCTTAAATGTCAGTAGAATTCCTATTATAATGTCAAACAATAAAAGAACTCATTGGATTGCATCTTTAAAGATTCTATTCAAAATAAGTTCACTCTTGTGCCTGCAAACAATCATAGTTAAATCACCTTGGCTGCCTATCCTTCACTTCTGCAATAATTGCATCCCAGCGTTGGTTTAAACCTGCCAGTTTGTCTTTCAAGAAGCTTCCATCTGCCTGGGGGAGTTTCTGCACAATCCCATCCCCAGTTCTGTTTAGTGCTGCAAAACTAGGCCGGTGGCTGCTGATGCCTTCCTCAAGTTCCTGTAACAGAGCACAACTCAAGATTAGTTTCACCAATAATTAAATGATTCTGAGGCAATGAATCCACCCAAGTATTGTGGTATCAATTTAAGTGTGACAGAAACAAATTCCTGGAAAGATATTTTATGTTTAAAAAAAAAAAAAGGCATTTTAAAACAATTTAATTATATTTCAATGAACATGCTAAATGAAATCTGTTTTGAAATCTAACCCATCCTCATGAATGTCATCAGGTAAAATACAAGGAAATAAGACAGCCTAATAACTAAAATGAATAATAGCTGTTTACATTAAAGCATAAGAATCAATCATGTTTGATGAAAATGAGTTGCTCATCTTCTTCCAAACAAGTACTTGAAAGCACTGCTTTAAAAAATTATATACGCCAACATATCCTTATATCCTTGTGTCCTACCATATACAAGTAAACCTAAATGTGCATTTTACTAAGATATTGCCTCACTGGTTGATACGGTTTGGTTGTGTCCCCACCTAAATCTCATCTTGAATTGTACCTCCCATAATCCCTACATGACATGGGAGGGACCCAGTAGGAGGTAACTGAGTCATGGGGGTGGTTACCCTCATGCTGTTCTAGTGATAGTGATCTGATGGTTTTATAAGGGACTTTTCCCCCACTTTGCTCAGCACTTCTCTCTCCTGCCGCCATATGAAGAAGGACATGTTTCTTTCCCTTTCCACCATGATTGTACATGTCCTGTGGCCTCCCCAGCGATGCTGACCTATGACTCAATTAAACCTCTTTCCTTTATAAATAACCCAGTCTCAGGTATGTCTTTATTAGCAGCATGAGAACAGACTAATACACTGGCCTACAAGTGTTTAAGTAACAGATTAAATGGATATTTTCAAGTCAAATTTAAACACTTATCTGTAACTCCAAAAATAAGAAAAATGCATTAACACAATTATTTATTTATTTATTTATTTATTTATTTATTTATTTATTTTGAGACAGAATCTCGCTCTGTCACCCAGGCTGGAGTGCAGTGGCACAATCTTGGGTCACTGCAACCTCCACCGCCCAGGTTCAAGTGATTCTTCTGCCTCAGCCTCCCGAGTACCTGGAACTGCGGGTGCCCGCCACCACACCTGGCTAATTTTTTGTCTTTTTGGTAGAGACAGGGTTTCACTGTGTTAGCCAGGATAGTCTTGATCTCCTGACTTCATAATCCACCCACTTTGGCCTCCCAAAATGCTGGGATTACAAGTGTGAGGCACCGCGCCTGGCCACATTAACACATTTATAAGAAAAATAAATGAATTCTCTTTAACTTGTCATGTCCTTCTAAATAAAATACATTTTAAAAATTTAATAAAGGAAAAAATATTTTTATCAACGGTAGAATTAAAATTGTGTGTGCTTTCTATTGTTATTTTTAAAGAGCTGTTGTCATCAGCAGAACTAACTTTGTGTTATATTTTCCCAAGACTGAATTAGACTTACATGAGCAGCTGCCCTGCTGTCGCTCCAGGATAATTTACTTTATGATAATTATCAATGATACAAAGAAAAATGAGATGCCTAAGTGTTTTAAGTACAAAAAATACAGGTGAGGCATGCAAATATTTTTTCTGTTCTTAATATAGTCTTAGGCATAACATTTTACAAATCGCATTCTAAATATAAAATTGTTTAAATAAAATTGTATTTCACATTACCCACTAAAGAGTATTTTTATTTACATTTCTTTGAAATCTTGATTGAAAATTGTGATTGACCAATTTCTTAAACTTTTATAACTGGTAACAAGAACTGGAACAAAAATTACAAATTGTCCATTGGCTTCTGAAAAAATAATATATTTTGTCCCTACTTCTGAAATCTGTCTTAACAGGCATACACTAACCATATATGTAATTCCCCTCCTCTAACAGAAAACACTCACCTGCTGATGTATCCTGGCTTTCTCTAAGTCCAGGCTGCCACCTGGAGCACAGGTATCAACCAGTAATTCTTCAGCCTCTGTTATCCACTGTGTGAGGTCATTAAGGTCACAATGGAACTGTCTCCATTCTTCCATAGCCCTATCAAAGTAACTAGAGGACAACAAACAAAATAAAATAGGTTTCTAAACTTTTCAGGACTGCCTAGGAGCAATTTTTCTAAAAAAGAAAATCAAATCTCATTTAAACAGAAAGACTTCAAAAAACTGAATTCACAGCCTATTGTTCCACAAAACCAATTTTCGTAGTGGGATAAAGGTAATAATTCCTCTTAGAGATATAGGCATCACACCAAGGGCAAAGCAATCTGCTCACACCACCAGCTACCAAATCCTCTCTCTCATACATACACACATGCACACTCACATACACATACACACACACACACTCATGAACACACTCATGCACACATTCGAGCAGCTTTTCAACTAAAAAGACGTAGCCTTTTCTGGCTTGAAAAATCAGGATCAATTAGTCGTAGGCATGTTAACCCATCCAACTTTATACATTTAACATTTAAATACCATGAAATATAAAATATGATTCATTATTTTCTTGGGGAAAAATATGTCATTTTAATACCAGAACACTTAATTCCTGACAAGAATAAAGCACAAAAAGCCAAAACACTTCAAAATGCCCATACACTCCATTATCTATATGTTATATACGGAATTGTGTCCAATCAAAATTCTTATGTTGAAGCCCTAACCCCACAATGTGACTGTACTTAGAGATCGAGCTTTTCAGGACACAAATAAGGTTAAAAGAGGTCATAAGTGTGGGGCTCTAGTCTGAAAGGACTGGTGTCCTTATAGTAAGTGGAAGAGGCACCACAGAGCCCTCTCATATGAGGACACAGCAAGGTGGCCATCTGCAAGCCAGTAAGAGAGTCCTCACTAGACATCAACTCTACTGGCACCTTGATCTTGAACTTCCAGCCCTCCAGAACTGTAGGAAAGTAAATGTCTGTTGTTTAAGCCACCCAGTCTACGTTATTTTATTATGGCTGCCTGAGCAGATTAACGTACTTCAGGTAATCACTGGTCCTGAGGGTCCCATTTACCTAAATACAGCAAAGTATGAAACTGCATGCAGAGCCCAAGTTATGCAATGAGACAGAGGGCTATTGAGATTTCTGTTTAAACCAAATTCTTCTAAAGATGGCAAAGTAAAACCGAGCGCTTGTCATATTCAGAATACATGAAACAAGTATAAAAAGAAAAAGTTTTATTGAACTAGGATCCTAAATAATTTTTTCTCCTATCTTTTTGTTTAGAGTAATGGAGCTGAGTTTTAGAAATGATCGCTGAGATCTTAACAATATTAATAAAATTTATATTTCATGTAATAAGATACATATTATTTTAAATAAAATGGCTCCTAATATCAATAACTCCTAAATAACGTGTATATCATCTTTTTCCATGAAAATTACTTTTAAAATTTTGCTAATACTGCCCACAGTAAAGCAATTTTCTATTAAGCATGGAAAAAAAAAAGCACTTTAAAAAAAGGGCACTATGAGATGATATTAAGACACTCATTGTCACTTGCAAAAATTCACAGTAACTACACAACAATCACAATTTCCAAATTCGGGATGCTATAAGACTGTTTCAAAGATCTAAAGACTTTGAAAATATAAACATTAAACTTAGAAAGTATCATCAGTGAAAGAGAGAAAAAAAGTGGTGGATAGAAGGAAGGACTAACTTGCAGCTCCCACTTAGACAAACAGCAGCATGTGCAGACACACAGTGGACTTCTGTCCCAAGAACTACTGCAGGAACATACCAGGAAAACTGAGAGAATCTTACAGACCCTTTGAAGGAGGCGGAATGCTGCTGCATGCTGCATGGGAGAGCCGAGGAACTGGAGACCAGCTTGTGCTCTCAGCTGGGAGACTTGTCACCTGGGGCAAGTTCTGAACCCTGCTCACCAGCTGCCTGGAAATAAACCCAGTGCTGTTGGGTGGGCTGGGGGGTGGCAGCAGAAGGAGGTCCTGATAGGAGTGAGACTGGCCTTTTGGGCCGTGGGCTGCATGGAAGCTGAGTGAGGCCTGCCGCTGCAGGCTTTCCCCCACTTCCCTGGTGACCTGTGTTATGCAGCAAAGACAGCCATAATACCCCTGGGAACATAACTCCACTGGCCTGGGAACCACACCCCTATCCCCTACAGCAGCCGCAACAAGCCATGCACAAGGAGAGTCTGACTCAGATACACCTAACCCTGCCCCAACCTGATGGTCATTCTCTACTCGCCCCGGTAGCCAAAGAGAAAGAACATAATCTCTTAGGAACTCTATGGCCCTGCCGATCACCTAATCCTGTCTATACTACTGCAGCTGATGCTCTCTTGTAAGCACCATCTCCTGGCTGGGGGCCAACAAATAGAAAACCAGCGAACTTAACCAAAATACAACTAAGGACTCTCACAGAGTCCACTTCACTCCCCTGTTACTTTCACCAGACCAAGTGCTGGTATCCACAGCTGAGACACCTGAAGACGGATCCCATCACATCATGGGACTCTCTGCAGACACTCCCCAGTACCAGCTTGGTACCCAGTAGCTCTGCTGGACGGCTAGCTTCAGAAGAGAAATAACAATAACTGCAGTTCAGCTCTCAGGAAGCCCCATCCCTAGGGGAAGGAGGAGAGCACCAAATCAAGGGAGCTCTTTGTGGGACAAAAGAATCAGAAGAGCAGCCATTGAGTCCCAGACCTTCCCTCTGACATGTTCCACCCAAATGAGAAGAAACCCAAAAAACAATTATGGTAATATGACAAAATAAGGTTCTTTAAAACACCTAAAAAGATCATACTAGGCTGGGCACAGTGGCTTATGCCTATAATCCCAGCACTTTGGGATGCCGAGGCAGGCAGATAACCTGAGGTCAGCAGTTCAAGACCAGCCTGGCCAACATGCGGAAACCCCATCTCTACCAAAAATACAAAAATAAGCTGGGTATGGTGATGCATGCCTGTAATCCCAGCTACTCAGGAGGCTGAGGCAGGAGAATCGCTCAAACCTGGGAGGCAGAGGTTGCAGTGGGGAGATCATGCCATTGTACTCCAGCCTGGGCAACAGAGTGAGACTCCATCTCAAGGAAAAAAAAAAAAAAAAAAAAAAAAAGATCACACTAGCTCACCAGCAATGGATCCAAACCAGGATAAAATCTCTGAATTGCCAGAAAAAGAATTCAGAAGGTCAATTATTAAACCAATCAAGGAGGCACCAGTGAAAGGTGAAGTCCAACTTAAAGAAATCAAAACAATGACACAGTATATGAATGAAAAAATCTCCAGTGAAATAAATAGCAAAATAAAAAACAATCACAGCTTCTGGAAATCAAGGACACACTTCGAGAAACGCAAAACGCACTGGAAAGTCTCAGCAAGAGAATCAAACAAGTAGAAGAAAGAACTTCAGAGCTCAAAGACAAGGTTTTTGAATTAACACAATCTGACAAAGAAAAAGAAAAAAGAATTTTTAAAAATGAACAAAGCCTCCATGAAGTTTGGGATTATGTTAAAAGAACAAAGAATAATTTGTGTTCCCAAGGAAAAAGAGAAATCTAAAAGTATGGAAAACATATTTTAGGGAATTATTGAGGAAAACCTCTTGGCTTTGCTAGAGATCTAGATATCCAAATACGAAAAGCTCAAAGAACAGCTGGAAAATCCATCACAAAAAGATCATTGCCTAGGCACATGGTCATCAGGTTACCTAAAGTCAATAAGAAGGAAAGAATATTAACAGTTGTGAGATAAAAGTATCAGGTAACCTATAAAGAAGAACCTGTCAGATTAACAGCAGATTTCTCAGCAGAAACCTTACAAGCTAGAAGAGATTGGGGTCCTATCTTCAGCCTCCTTAAACAAAAAAATTATCAGCCAGGAATTTTGTATCCAGTGAAACTAAGCTTCATAAATGAAGGAAAAATAGTCTTTTTCAGACAAATACTGAGAGAATTTGCTGCTACCAAGCCAGCAAGACAGAAGCAGCTCTAAGTCTTGAAACAAATCCTAGAAATAGAACAAAATAGAATCTCCTTGAAGCAGAAATCTCAGCCAGGTGTGGTGGCTCACATCTGTAATCCCAGTACTTTGGGAGGCCAAGGCAGGCAGATTACCTGAGGTCAGGAGTTTGAGACCAGCCTGGCCAACATGGTGAAACCCCATCTCTGCTAAAAAGTACAAAAAAAATTAGCCAGGCATGGTGGTAGGCACCTGTAGCCCCAGCTACTTAGGAGGCTGAGACAGAGAGTTGCTTGAACCTGAGTGGCAGAGGTTGCAGTGAGCCGAGATCATGCCACAGCACTCCAGCCTGGGTGACAGAGCAAGACTCTGTCTCAAAAAATAATAAAAGCATAAATTTCAAAAGAACCTGTTAACTATAACAAAATAAAAAAAAAAAAAAACAAGGTATTGAGGCAACAAATATCATGATACATAGAATAGTACCTCACATCTCAATACTAACATTGAATGTAAATGGCCTAAATGCTCCATTTAAAAGATGCAGAATAGAAGAATGGATAAAAATTCACCAACCAAGTATCTGCTGTCTTCAAGAGACTCACCTGACACATAAAAACTCACATAAACTTAAGGTAAAGGGGTGGAAAAAGATAGTCCATCCAAATGGACACCACAAGCAAGCAGGAGTAGCTATTCTTATATCAGACAAAATAAATGTTAAAGCAACAGCAGTTAAAAAAGACAAAAAGGGACATTGTATAATGATAAAAGGACTAGTTCAACAGGAAATTATCACAATCCTAAATATATATGCACCTAACATGGGAGCTCCCAAATTTGTAAAACAATTACTACTAGACCTAAAAAATGAAATAAACAGCAACACATTAATAGTGGTAGACGTCTATACTCCACTGATAGCACTACACAAGTCATCAAGACAGAAAGTCAACAAAGAAACAATGGAATTAAACTATACCCTAGAACAAAGGGACGTAACAGATATTTATGGAACATTCTAACCAACAACTGCAGAATATATTTTCTATTCATGAGCACACAGAACATTCTCCAAGATAAACCATGTGATAAGCCACAAAACAAATCTCAACAAATTTAAGAAAACTAAAATTACATCAAGTACTCTCTCAGACCACAGTGGAATAAAATTGGAAATCAACCCTGAAAGGAACCCTCAAAACCATGTAAATATATGGAAATGAAATAACTTGTTCATGAATGATTATTGGGTCGACAATGAAATCAAGATGGAAATTTAAAAATTCTTTGAACTGAATGATAATAGTGACAGAACCTATCAAAACTTTTAGGATATGGCAAAAGCAATGCTAAGAGGAAAGTTCATAGCATTAAATACCTACATCAAAGAGTCTAAAAGAGCACAAATAGACAATCCAAAGTCACACCTTAAGAAACTAGAGAAACAAGAACAAACCACACCCAAATCCAGCAGAAGGAAAAAAAATAACCAAGATCAGAGCAAAACTAAATGAAAGTGAAACAAACAAACAAACAAAAAAATACAAAAAAAAAAAAATGAAACAAAAAGCTGGTTCTCCGAAGAGATAAATAAAATTGATAGACTATTGGTGAGATTAACTAAGAAAAGAGAAAGGATCCAAATTAGTTCAATTAGCAACAAAATGGGTGATCTTACAACTGATGCCACAGAAATACAAAAGATCAAGGCTATTATGAACACTTTTACATGCATAAACTAGAAAACCTAGAGGAGATGGATAAATTCCTGGAAATATACATCCCTTTTAAATTAAACCAGGAAGAAACAGAAACTCTAACAGACCAATGACAAGCAGCAAGATTAAAATTATGATTAAAAAATTACCAGCAAAAAATAGTCCAGGACCCGATGGATTCAGAGCTGAATTCTATCAGACATTCAAAGAAGAATTGGTACCAATCCAACTGACACTATTCCCAAAGATAGAGAAAGAGGAAATCCTCCCTAAATTATTCCATGAAGCCAGTACTACCGTAATTCCAAACCCAGAAAAGGACATAACAGAAAAGAAAACTACAGACCAAATCCCTGATGAAGATAGATGCAAAAATCCTCAACAAAATACTAGCTAACTGAATCCAACAGAATATGAAAAAGAGAATAAACTATGTTCAAGTGGGTTTCATACTGGTGATGCAGGGATGGTTTAAAATACACAAGTCAATAAATGTGATACACCACATAAAGAGATTTAAAACAAAAATCACACGATCATCTCAACAGACTGAGACAAGGCATTTGACAAAATCTAGCATCACTTTATGATTAAAATCCTCAGCAAAACTGGCATAGAGGGAACATACCTTCAGGTAATAAAAGTCATCTATGACTTTTAGCCCATAGCCAACATTATACTGAAGGAGGAAAAGTTGAAAGCATTCCCCCTGAGAACTGGAACAAGAAAAAGATGCCCACTTTCACTACTTCTATTCAACATAGTACCGGAAGTCCTAGCAGAGCAATCAGATAAGAGAAAGAAAGAAAGGGCATCTGAATCGGTTAAAAGGAAGTCAAACTGTTACTGTTTGCTGATAAGATGATCATACACCTAGAAAACCCTAAAGATTCATCCAAAAAAGCTCCTAGAACTGGTAAATAAATTCAGCAAAGTTTCAGGATACAAAATTAATGTACACAAATTAGTAGCACTAAAAATTAAAAAATAAAAATAAAATTGAGGTGTAATCGATCACTATTACATTGGCAAAGATTTTTTTAAACAATAAAAAAAATTGTTAATGTTAGTAAGGGCTCAAAAAGAAGGGCATTTTTACAAATACTGTTGGCAGGGGTAAAGTAACCAATTTCATGATATAACACAGAGGTTTAAAATGTCATTATTTTTAAAGAAACTTGTCTGTATCTAATGATCAAACCTAAAGAAATGTAAGTACGGATAAAGATGTATGTAAAAGAATGTTCTTCAAACATACAAAGGGAAAATTTGTAAAATCTAACAAATGAATATACCAAAGGCCACTAAAAGCTATCTTTTCAAGGATTAGTCACATTGAAATATGTGGGCTAAAATAAAAAAAGACAAGGAACATGATGCCTAGTTTTGTGCGTATGTCTCTCATTACCCAAAGTATTATTCTGTGCTCCCTTTCCTCTTATACAGCACTTTCCATTGGGTTATTTCATAATTTATTTGTCTTTCCATCACATCCACAGCTACTGGCAAAAATCTCAACTGTTTTCATTTCTACCTATTAACAGGCCTGGTCAAAATCTAGTAAGAAGAAGGCTCAAAAGCATTCATTTAAACAGAAGATTATAAAAAAGAGTTTGATATTATATATGGATTCTAATTATCTGTAGCTGCCTCTGTTCTTCACTCATATTAATTATCAAGCGTGCTGAGAAAGTGAACATTAATGAAAAATTTATTTAATTTTTTTAAAGAGAATGGACACTATTTAGACACTAAAAATTAGAAGTGCTTCCATATTATTAAGATATTGTGTTATAAATGGTCATCTATATATGATCACATTTCTCCTTTAAGGAACTATACTTATCACAATTTATTAAACAGGGCATACAGCCAGGTGCAGTGGCTCACACCTGTAATCCCAGCACTTTGGGAGGCCGAGGCAGGCAGACTGCCTGAAGTCAGGAGTTCGATACCAGCCAGACCAACATGGTGAAACACCATCTCTACTAAAAATACAAAAATTAGCCAGGTGTGGTGGTGTGCACCTATAATCCCAGCTACTTGGGAGGCTGAGGCAGGAGAATCTCTTGAACCTGGGAGGCAGAAGTTGCAGTGAGCCGAGATCACGCCAATGCACACCAGACTGGGTGACAGAGCAAGACTCCTTCTCAAAAGAAAAAAAAAAAAAAAAACAGGGCATCCTACAAGGATATGAAACATGTTTTCATTAATCTCAATGTCCACAAGACCTGTTTCATGGCCCATGAACTTGCAGACATTTTTTAAAATTAAACATTAATTTCATTTACACCTACCCTTTCCGATCACTGTACATTCTATTAATTCTGTCCCATTTTGCATTCAGCTGAGTAAGTGTATCTCTGATCTGAATGGCTTCAGGTCCAGAGGCTTCAAGGATGACATCTGGCTGTTTTTCATGAATGACTGCAATCTGCTCTCCAAGTTTGTCCAGTTGGTCTTTGATATTCTAAAAATATATTGTCATAGATTAACAAAATCCAGCAAAGTAACAAAAAAAAGGAATCACAGATGACCAGAAATTTATATTGTAGAACACTCATTTGAAATAATAATGAGACATAATCATTGTTAATCACACAACTGGAAACTTTTTAAAAAAAATAATACCCTGTTTTGGCCAAAGTGTGTGGAATATGCTACATAATATACTCATGGCAGGAAAAGAAATCCTCACAATAGTAGCATTTGTACATGACACATGAAAAGCTTCAGTAACATTCTCTATAGGTAATGAGGCATTTGAAGCTGGAAATACTGATACTTTCAAATATCTAATAATGCTAGTTTAAATGAGAGGAATGCACTATCAAATCCATATTATCAGTGAGTTTATTGTGACTTTAAATATAAATGCAATCAAGTTACATGAAAATGCCTTGCTAGAATTTAAAAGTTTAATTAACTTACAATCAAGATACCATTCCACACCTCAACAACTGGCCAATTTTAAACCATTATAGATTGCCTGATAAATGCCGACAATTAACATCAACTGACAATCTAGTTTACAAGACAGGAAGGTGGTCCATGTCTCTGTTTAATTTTAAACGAAGGCTCTGATGTTGCAAATAATTTATAACTGTGCACACTTAACAATCCATACCCACTTTTTAAAAATTCAAAATGTTTTATGTTTTCTTGGACAATATAGGAAAGCTTTACTAGTCATACATATTATTAATCCCCTGGCAAAAACTGTAAAAGATATCGACCATCTAAGTAGGCATGAGATCAAATTTCTTCCTCTACTTCTGCATTAACTGTGGCCATTCAAACACAGTGCCAGGAGGTCTACCTTCAGAGAGTCTTCCTGAAAAGAGAAGTCTTCGTAGATAGCAGTGTTGAGCTCTGGAATATTAAGTGATAATTCAACATCATCCATGCAAAGTAAAATTTTGTTAATTTCAACCAGATAATCTGTAGGAAGAAGTGATGATCTAATTCCAGAAGCAAGTTGACCCATTTTCCTCTGTTGAATAGGGAATGCCTACAAAAACAGCAAAAAAAAAAAAAAAAAAAAAAAAAAAGTATTAAAATACCCCCACAATGAATAATAACAAATTAAGAAAATATACGACTATTGTGTGAAGGAATGAAATATCATGAACCAAATTTTTAAAACTTAGTTTTAATGTTTTATATTATAAACCTACCTTGCAACAGAAACCCTTAACCATTTGTATTCTAATTTTCATCTGCAGCATGCTATTAAACAGCATAAGTATGTTAATAATTTGACAGGCTTTAAGGTCTATGTCATCTAAACTCAGCAAACAAAAAACATAACAATTCCTTTCTTGAGTTGTTGAAAGAATGAGAATATGCTGCCAATCATAAAGTTTCGTATGAAATAAAACATGTTGATACCATTATTATTTCACTCTTTTAAAAATATCACAATTTTAAAATTGCGCCTCACTGCTAAAAATATAAGCAAGTTAAACATGTTTCCATAACACAACATGAAATGCACAAAGGGTTTTGATTAAAATAATATCCAGGTAATTCAGTATGTAATCTTAACCTCTGAGAATAATATTACAGAGCAGGAATATCCTACATGAGAAAATAGATCATGAAGTGCCATATTTAGACAGACTTGAGGCTCTATGGACTACTCATCTGCCCTAATATAGATTTTCTGGATCCTCTTCTCAGATCTTTCTTTTTCATTTTTATTTTTTTGGTGGGGTGGGAACAGAGTATTGCTCTGCCTCCCAGGCTGGAGTGCAGTGGTGTGATCTGGGCTCACTGCAACCTCTACCTCCAGGTTCAAGTGATTATCTTGCCTCAGCCTCCTGAGTAGCTGGGATTACAGGCGTGCACCACCACGCCCAGCTAACTTTTATATTTTTAGTGGAGATGGGGTTTAACCATGTTGGCCAGGCTGGTCTCAAACTCTTAACCTCAAGTGATCAGCTGACCTTAGCCTCCCAAAGTGCTGGGATTACAGGCATGAGTCAATGCACCCAGCCCTCTTCTCAGAGCTTTCTAAACAATAAAGTGCTCTCTGGGATGGACCATCAGTCCTTCAGGAGTTCAAATCCTCTACTCCTAGATGGCCACAATTTAATAAATGCTGTCTATTACCACTTCCAAAGGGCCAAAGTGCAGCTGCTCATGAATTAAGGTACCTTCCTTGACACTTTCACTTCTCCTATGTTGAACTTCTAAAAAAATTATAATCAACTGTAAATTTGAGATGATAGTTAAAATGATCACAAATGCATGTTAATTTAGTTAGTGATCTTGAAAATGGTTACAAGGCAATCTCTAAATGAATTCAAGACACATGACTAAAATCATTGAGTGGATAACATGGTGTTGAACCTAGAGGACTGCATTACTGCCTCCCAGAATTTGTAAACTGTTTTCATCAATTGATAGGCAGTTCTGGATAGCCAAGTTAGAAGCAGGTCTATAGATTTTTTTACTTTAACAACAGAACTAATTATACTTGTCACCAAGATTAATTTTATTATCCTAATGCCACATTTTTACAATTTAGTCAGAAAGCATTTCTAGATGTTTACCCATATGTCTAAGGAAGCAAATTCTGTGTTTTAAGCAAATATAAAAGAATGCTGAAATAAATAACATATCTACCCAGAAACCAGCTACAAATAAAAAGATGCTAAGTATTTTTTAAGAAAAGAAAAAATCAAAAATAATTCTTTCAGATTTTCATTTCAAATAAGCCAATGTTTTTATTTTGGAAGATCAGAAAACTAGGTTCAATTGTTCTCCCTCTTAACTTTAAGGAAAAGAAAATAGCTCAAAGAAAGTGTTTCTACGTTGAGTCATCATGTCAAAAAAGTAAAAGAGGAAACTGGGACCCCTTTTCCTTCTTGGCTTCCCATCCATTAACCAAAATTTTGCTGGAAGGTCATCTGTTTTCCAAAAGACCAAAAAACTTCAGACATCCAACTACTTTATTATACTTGTAGGACATTTACCTTTGTAGTACTTTCCTCATTTAGCACCACTAGATAATACATGTCACATACGTAAATGTTGAGAGTCACTTTTATACCTCAGCTACTACTAGAAGACTGGAAGTCCTGTGCTGCTTCTTCAGTTACATAATGGATTGTCATTCTGCAAGACCACATGTACCTGAAGCTTTAGAATAAACTAGGGAGGTCAGTAGGTATCATAGAGTTCCAAGTTTAAAAAATTCACATTCATTAAGACAGTCTCTTTTTCTTTTCAGACTGTAAGACAATTCAAGATTTTTCTGAGTCTTCACACTCTTACAGAAGCAGCAAGGCAGTTCAAGATTTAAACATGTGCTTTCTGTATTCCTGAAATTGATCTTTTCTCCCCCAACAGAGTGATCAATCAAAATGCCCTAGGACTAAAAAAATGTCCTCAAGATCTGACCGAGACATTACTTCTGGACAATTTTATTTTTAAAGAATTCTCCTAGGACACGGAAACACAAATATACTAGAGGTCAGTACTGACATGAGACAGTGTTACATGATGTAGCTCACATCATATAGCAAAGTCCAGATGAAAGAGATTTTTAAGTGACTGCTTTATTAAATTTCTAAGTTTTGTTTTTACCAAACCATGGGAAAAACCTGGAACTAAACAGAATTGAATATTCATCAACTTTCTGGAGGACAAAAACTTTTTAGATCCCAAAACAGGAACCCCCAAAAAATCACTAAAGAAAAACATAGTCACCTGTGGCTAAACAAAAATTTTAAATGGTTGCATCTTAAAGGTAAAATACTTAGAAGATAAATATCAATAAGTAATATGTTATAGCAACTATGGCAAGTGGTTAATATCTTTAAAAAGTGCTCATACATAATTTAAAAACAGTAATACTCTAGTAAACAAATTGGAAAAGGTCACTTAACATATTTCAAATAAGACAATGAGTCCTGTAAACTACGGCTTCTCAATCCTAATTGTACATTACAATCATCTACAAATGTTTTGTGTTTTGCTTTTGTAAATGCCCACACCTAGGTCCAACCTGAGAGATTCTGATTTAACCGGTTCAGGAATTAGATTTTGGCACCGTAGTTTTTTTAAAGCTCCCCAAAGTAATTCTAATGTTCACAGTTAAGAATCATATCAGTTTGAAAACTATAGATTTGAAGTATGTATCATAGTTGGCCTACCAATGTTAGTAAAGCCAGAATGAAATTAGCTTGTATAGTATACATTAGTACTTTTAACAAACAAATTTATTTATGTATTAAAAGCTTAAAACTTATTTCTATTTTGTGCCAGTAATAATTTCTGATTTCAGACCCAAAGATGAAAAAGATATGGCCTGAACTTGGAGAAGCATTAGGGAAGAAAGATACTTTTAAAAGTCACAATAAAGCAGAAAACTATAATATAACCTGACAGAAGTTAGAAATAAAAATGGAGCTAAGTCTTAAAAGATAATGCATTTTTCAGCTAACCTAAAAAGACAAAACTCACTCTAGGGAATGGGAATAAAATTAGTAAGTTCCCAGATGTGCATATGATGTGTTTAGGAAAATGTAAAGAAAACCAGCGTAGCTGTCCTACATGGCAAGTGACAGGAAATCAAAGACATAGGAGCCAGGGGTTAGACTGAAGACTTTGTATGTTGTTATATTGACGAACCTTGCATTTAAAGCTTTTTCTGTATTTTGCAATATTTTCCTAAACAGTTTCTTAGATGAAGGAATGACATAATCAGCCATGACTTGGGGGAGAATAACTCTGAGGAAGATACAAAGGACATGCTAGAGTGAGAAAAAAAAACAGACTTAAGAGTATGTCCACGGGATATAATATCATGGGAGAAAATCATAAGTCTAAATTATGGAAAGGATAGTGAAGTAAAATAAGCTAAGTCACTTTCTCATGATCATAAAACAAGCAGCTGGTAGAGTAATATCTAACTTGAGTTTCAAACCTGAATGTTGCTTCAAGCAGACCCAATGGTTTTAATGCCTACTCAGTGTGATGTGAGAAAGTATGTGAGGAACAAGAAACAGTTAACAAGGATGTTGAGGCTTCAGCCTTGAGAGAATGGCTAGTTTTTAAAGTATAGTCATGCATTGCTTAGTAACAGCAAGGACATGTTCTGAGAAATGTATCTTTAGGTCATTTCATTTTCATGCAAACATCATAGAGTGCGCTTATACAAACCTAGATGGTGCAGCCTCCTGCACACCTACGCTATGTGGTATAGTCAATTGTTCCTAGGCTAAAACTTTACAGCACGTTATTGTACTGAATACTAGAGGCAATTTTTGAAACACAATTGGAAGTATTTATGTATCTAAACATATCTAAACATAGAAAAGGTACAGTAAAATTACAGTACCATCATTGATCTACTTAATTTCCAAAGTCATCAAACAAAAATCATTCAAGAAGGAACTACCAAAGAACAGACCCCAGGGAACAAGAGCACACTGAAAATGCAGATAGAAAGATTGCCACTTTAAAAAGAGCTGGAGCTGGGTATGGTGGCCCACACCTGTAGTCCCAGCAACTGGGGAGGCTGACACAGGAAGATCACTTGAGCCTAGGAGTTCAAGATCAGTCCGGGCAACATAGTGAGATCCCATCTTTTAAAAAAAGAAAAATATAAAGAAATAAAAAGGGAGCTGGTAGAGAATCTTTACTAGAATATAAATCAGATTACATCAGTTTCACAAATTTAGTTATTTTTAAACTAGAAACTTTTTTTTGCCATAGCCAAGACCTTCACAAATAAAAGAAGGAACTGGAGGAAGCCACTTCTGAAATAGATAGATCTCTTTTAGGTTTGATACACAATCAGAAATCCAAAAGAGATGGCCAATAATAACGTTTTACATTTCTATTTGGGGTTCTGCACCATCCAAAAATATGAACACGTCTAGTAACACACACTAGAGGAGGAGATGATATTCCAGCTGGTGTGTTTTAAAGCATCTGTGATGCAGCATCACACATCTGAATGGCAAGAGTTAAGTAAGGTATTTAAATGCAACAGAGACTCTCCAGTCATAATACCTTAATTTTGTTGTATCTTGTATGCAAAAGTAATAACTGCAAACGGATCTTTTCTTTTTTATTATCTTCCATAGGTTGATGTAACATTTCTTCTCCTCTTTGTAGAACTTCCTCAACCTGGGCTCTCTCCTCATCCATCTAAATGTTTAAAAGGAAAAAAAAAAAAAATGACTCAAAAGAAAAGTGCTTAAGGTCACTTCCTAGCAGCTCCTAAAGAGGAAAACCAACCTACTTCGTATAGTGTAAGTCAAGATATGTTAACCTGAACGATCAAAAAATTTATATTGTTTAAAAATATTTTATATTTGAAGATAAAATATCTCAAAGAGAGTTTAGCAAACATTAGATAATACTAAGAATTATGTTTAGTTCAGAAAGTGTGTCTATTTTCTTTTTAAGTACATGAATCATGTGACTCTTACATCAACACACATCAAAAAATCACATTTGAATCTGTTTCATCATGTTTGACAGATTATATGGGTAAACATCATTGATGTAAAAATAAAATTAATAGAGAAGAAAAATGAGAACACCATGGTTTTGAAATCTCCTTGAACCAACCTTTTCATCTTCATCACTGGATTCCAAGTGTTTTTCCACAACTTTTAACATATTTTCTATGTCATTTTCTAATTTTTCCAAGTCAGAGAAAGGCACACCAGTTTCAAATGTTTCAGTGGTGACCAAACATCGGTATGATAATGGTTCCTGAGCAATTAGCAACTGTAGAAGGAAAAGAATTCTCTGAAAATAGATTTTTAATTTGACTTTCCATCACTAATCAGAGAGATGGTATGTCAAGAGAGAAACTAGCATTTTTTTTTTAATTGACTTTCCTATTCAGCTCAAATAACATTGGTTTCATTCATTTATATGGCAACGATTTTACCAGTTTAGACTTTTCTGAATTACCCATTTTCTTCAAACTCTAGCCAGGGATGTGATGTAGTGTTGCAATTCATTGTGGCTGCCCAGAGTGTTGTGGCGTGGATCTGGAGACCACATGCGAGCATAGTAGGAAACTATGGCCATGATCCAGAAACCATCTTTACCATGGCTTCAGAAAGGAAGAACAGCCACCCAGCCCCCTAGGGCAGGGACACCTCACAGAATGTCTCCCAGTTAAGTTTCCTCAGTAGAATTCCCCTTGAATTTTCATACACAAACGTCAAAGAAGTGCATATTTCTCAATGTCGTCTTTTCAGATAACATCTACATAGAAAAATTTTATATTTAACTAAAACTCAATAAAACATTTTTAATAAAAGTAAATGCAGATAAATACCTTCTGAGGTTGGCTAAGTGTGGGAAAACTAGCACTCTCTCATAAAGCTCCTATTTATTACCCTCTTAATTAAATGTATAAAGCTCTTTTTTAAATTTATAAAATTAGGTAGTACTTTCCTACCTTAGGTTTAAATTGTAAAATTATCTAACTTTTAGATTTGTCATCATGTAAAACACAAAAAACAAGTTCTGTGGTGTGTGCAGTGTGAACATATATATAGAGTATGACCAAAAAATAAAGGGTTTAATATTTATCCCTAGCTTGGGAATTAGTTTAATCATTTCATAACCAATTCAAACCTTTGATTGAGTCTTTGAAACCTTTTCTCAAATAGGTTATTTTCTTCAATACTAATTGCTTGTTTTCTCTCCTTCATATGCACAATCACAAAAAAAAAAAGGACAAATTCCATTCAAAGAAAAAGTGATCGAAAATATTTTAATTTAAAAATCGTTGGCCAGGTGCAGTGACTCACGCCTGTAATCCCAGCATTTTGGGAGGCCAAGGCAGGTAGATCACTTGAGGTCAGCAGCTCGAGACCAGCCTGGCCAAGTTGGTGAAACCTCATCTCTCCTAAAAAAAAAATACAAAAATTAGCTGGGCGTGGTGGCAGGCGCCTGTAATCCCAGCTACGTGGGAGGCTGAGGCAGGAGAATAGCTTGTGCCTAGAAGGCGGGGGTTACAGTGAGATCATGCCACTGCACTCCAGCCTGGGTGACAGAGCGAAAAAACAATAAAATTAAAATAATAAAATAAAAATTGTTTATGTATATACTGTATGACTATCATTTAGATACATACTCATAGGAAAAATGGTTTACTCTAAAAACATAATTACTCACTTTGGCACTTTTGATATGTTGGGACACCTTTTCAAAGTTCCTATTCAGCTCAGCTAACTTTGGTTCTACAAGCTCCCTGCTTGAGCTTCCACGGGCATTCATCAAAATAAGGGCTTGATCGCGGACATTTTCAACCTGGAGGTTGGCATCATCCAGCTCAGATACTAAACGCTAATTATAAGAAAACACAAAATTATCTCATGGGAAAAATCAAACCCAAACATGAGTGTGATGTTTTTACAGAATGAAAGGTAGTTTAAATAAATATCTGGGATCCCCAGTAAGAGATTTCAGCATAATCAACCAGGCAAGAGCTGTTCACATAGGGCTCACTGGAGAACACAGAGGTAAGCAACTCTCATTGGAGAATACAGAGGTAAGACTTGCTGGAGAATATAGAAGTATGTAAGACATATTGGAGAGTACAGAAGACAGACAGACTCATTGGAGAATACAAAAGTAAGTAAGAGTCACTGGAGAATACAGAAGTAAGGAGCACTCAGTGGAGAATGCAGAAGTAAGCAAGACTCATTGGCATCTTATGTGCATAGCTTTTACTCTTGTTGATTGTGCTGAAGTCTCTTACTAGTCTTTCGATTTCAATTCAAGTTTGTCTCTTATTGAGTTTGTCTCTTATTGTCTCAGTTTCTTCCATCAAAATAAATGTTAATGAATCTAACGCTTGGGAGGAATAAGAGCATAAGTAACCTAGAGCATTCCACAAGAGAAAACATGACAACAAAACATTCCACCCCAAAAGTGTTACTGATGTCTCTATGTTTGCCACCTTCACAATTTCTTCCCGTTTACTTGCTGGTTTCTTTTCAATTTCATCCAATAGAGCTTCAGCTTGATACAGCCAGGTACTTATGTGGGCCACATTTCCATCAAATATTTCTAGCTGGTTCTGATGGTTCTACAAAGGAATTAATAAAATGCTTACATAACCATATGAAATATTTAAGATGATAATCTTAAAAGAGATTTAAAAGACCTTCAAAGAGCAAACTGTATCATGAATTTAAAGAAAAACTTTCACCTTCCTGCAGAGCTCTTCTTCAGTGAATAAATCTCATTCCTAAAAATGCACATCTATGCTGCTTAACACTTCTTAAATTTATCTGATTTAGACCTCAGCACAATAAAAAGTTGAAGTAGAATAAAAGTTGAAAGTTTTTTTTTCAATTTCAATGCAAGTTCCTCTCTTATTCCTCATTCTTATATTACAACTGATCTGATTTGCCCTCCTCAATCTTTTTTTTTTTTTTTTTTTTTTTTTTAAAGATGGAATCTTGCTCTGTTGCCAGGCTGCAGTACAGTGGTGCGATCTGGGCAATCTTGACTCATTGCAATCTCCGCCTCCCGGGTTCAAGCGATTCTCCTGCCTCAGCCTCCTGAATAGCTGGGACTGCAGGTGTGCACCACTACCCCCTGCTAATTTTTATATTTTTAGTAGAGACAGGGTTTCACTGTGTTGGCCAGGATTGTCTTGATCTCTTGACCTCGTGATCCACCCACCTCAGCCTCCCAAAGTGCTGGGATGACAGGTGTGCACCCGCACCTGGCCCATATTTTTTAAACACTCACTTACTGAATAATTTTTTAAAATGATGAAAATATGAATTGAAAAAAAGATGCTGTATGCTCTGCTTAAAGGACAGTGCTTTTGTCTCCTTACCTCTATATCACCAGCCCTTAATATTACATCTGGCATAGACCACAGCAAGATGTCCTGAAGCAGGACATGAAACGTGCTTGACAGAACAGATTTGAAAACAGAAGCAACAGTTAAGCAGATTATGACTGAGAAAAGCAGTTAATCTAAGGCAAGAAGTTAGAGTGTGACCGAAAAGGGTAAGGAGGCTTATGATGAAATTAACATTTAGCAATTGTATGTTGTGGGATAAAAGAAACTGGAAAATGCTTAGACAGTAAAAGTTTTTACAAAGAAAGAAATTATTAATCTATAATATGAAAAATAGTTGAAAAAAGAAAATGTAGGCTGGGTGTGGTGGCTCATGCCTGTAATCCAGTACTTTGAGAGGTCCCGATGGGAGGATCACTTGACCTCAAGAATTCAAGACCAGCCTGGACAACATGGTGAAACCCCATCTCTAAAAACAAATACAAAAATTAGCCAGGTGTGGTGGCGCATGCCTGTAGTCCCACCTACTCGCAAGGCTGAGGTGGAAGGATCACCTGAGCCTGGGGAGGTCGAGGTTGCAGTGACCTGTGATCATACCACTGCATTCCAGCATGGGTGACAGAGTGACAGCCAGCCTCAAAAAAAAAAAAAAAAAAGTGAACAAAAAGAGACATAAAAATAAAAGAAAACAAACTTGCACTTGTGCCCCTGAATTTAAAATAAACATTAAAAAAAAGAAAATGTGAACTAATAAATGATATGAGAAAATATCAACAGTGATCTGGATCCTAAGTAGGAAGAACTGATGAGTACCAGACTTGTTTACCTCTTTCAAGCAGGTAAATCAAATGTTCTAACAGCGTTAGAAAGATACTGCTTGAATGGAGAGTTTGAAAGGTATAGACAGAAGAATACAGAAATCAGGGCCATGAGAATGTGAAATAAAGCTAGTAATTATAGTAATTAAAAATTAATATATAAAATATTTAATGAGCATATTCTATGAGCCAAGAATCTCATATTCACTATTATATTCTCTGTTAGGTATATACTTTTGTTCTCATTCTCTATATATGGAAATTTCAGCTTAGTAACATTAAGTAACTTAGCTAAGGTTAAACAGCTAATAAGTCATGGACTGTGGATATAAATCTGTTAGATATCAAGAGCAAAGTCCATGCTCTTCACTGCCCTACACATCCTGATGAATTTAAATAAATATTCAAACACACAATAATGTATGCTTGTTGTCTCTATCCATTACCTAGTAATTCTATAAATTTGATAAAAGTCCTATCTCAGGTATTTCAGAATTTAAAAAATATATATTTTTAATTATATATATTTTATTAGAATTTCAGAATTAAAATATATATATATAAATGATAACGTCTTCCTCAGCAGGGGAGGGTGGGGTGGCCATATATTCACAGTTAGTATCATAGGAACATAAAACCACTATAAAAATTAAATGATAACTATTTCCATGAGATAATTTACAGAGTAGTGGCATAACCAAAGACTAACACATATACAATATTTAATAATTATAATTATAGCAAAATCTAAAATTGGTTGTTTTGGTGATTTAATTGGTTATTTAAGAGCACTACATGTTTAAGGCTCATAATTAATCATTGCAAAACTGTATGAAACAGATATAATAATGTCCATTTTACAAATTAAACAATTGAGGTTTAGAGAATGTTTAAGTAACTTGACCAATGTTACCGAGCTAGTAGTGAAAAAATTTACATAGGCCATCAGATGCTAGAGCCTGTGCTCTTAACCAGTATGCCATTATTCAAACACTATAAAGATTATATATAAAAATAGCTTCTGATAGTATGAAAATTAAATACAATATGAAATCATTAAAATGAAACAAATAAGGTGCATTTACTAAAATATGAAAGTACCTCACTCCATGTAGATCATGAATATTTTAGAAACATTGTAAATTATTTCTAATTATTACCTTTTCAAAGAAAAAACAAAACCTAGTCTAATGAAATTAATTCACAAGCAAAATATTACTGTGACACACAGTAAATAGGACTTGAAATTTAATCAAAGTTGTATTCATTTAAAAAATAACTAGAAGAGAGGAGATTTCATCATTAATTTTTTCCTGAGACATACCATCAAGGTATTGCACCAATCTTCAGTCCAGGTACGAACTCGGCTCCACCCAGCGTTAAGGACGCAGAGCCTCTCTTCTAAAATAGGCTCGCTGCCCTCAATCAAGTTTTGCAGGGCAGCACTACTCTCTGTGATGATATTTAAATCAACTTTTCTCTTTTCCAGATCCTTCAGAACATTCTAGAAAATAAAAAAAAATCAAATACTTGATCCTTCAGAATATTATAAAAGTGTATACAACCTTAAATTATTAAAAACTTTTCCGCCACATATACAAAGTAGTCCATGACTCCCTAATTTACACTGACAAAGTTTACAAAATTCCTAAACTTATTAACATAATGAGAATTTTTAAGTTCCAAATGAAAAACAAAATGTGTAATTCAGCAAATACCAATGAGTGTTAATACACTCAGTTGTGGGAAAGCAATTATTTCATTTATTTAAATATAAATCCATTTATTACATATGAATGCCAATTACCTTCATCATCACTCTAAATGTAAAGGCACAATTTCATTTTCAGTAACTACAAGCTGGCAAAGCAGAAGGATCCTAGAACTCACAACTTAAAAAAATTCACAATGAATTTATCTCCTAGATTACCAAAGGAAACTATTGATGTGTACTATAGGTACTTACAAGGGTAATATTTTATAGCTGGCTGATTTCACATATAATATCTCAAATAAACATTACAAAAAAACATTTCATATAAGCAATTCACAAGAGAACAGCAAGTCTAAGCTTTGGTCTTACAACTGTCATAAGTGCAAAGATAATACTCTGGATAGTATGATGATAAAGAGATTGGCACATTCATAAGTTTCACCAGGCAAAGTGTATAGTCACAGAATTATAGAGAGAGCATGAGTTCCACAATTAAAACTACGAAGCTCTTTCAGTCAAAAAGCATAAGCATGTATCTAACCTACTGCTACTATTAATGATCATTTTTTAAATCAACATTTAAACCAATAATTTTAAGGAACTCAAGTTTATATTTATACATTAAATCACACCTTGGGAAGCATACCAATTACAAAATCACAAGTGAGTCCAGGTTTAAACATTCACTTGGCCATGTCAATTACTGGTATATTTATGAAGGAACTAAAATACTACTTTCCAAAGTTCTTCTCTAGTGGAGGGGGTGGGGGAATAAAGGATACCCAATATCCATGCTCTCAGCAATTATTAATAAGAACCTTTCATTTCTTCAGTGGGTATATACTGATTGACTAGAATAGCATTTAAGAACTATAAAAAAAAAGAACTACAAGTAATTACATCTAAATAGTACACATCCTTTTTTATAGTAAAAAAGATTACATTGAAAATAGTGATATTTAAGTTATGGAATAAGTTATTTCCATTTCATTCAGAAATGAAAATATTATTTAAGTTTTGCATTGAAAATAACTTTACATAATCTTTAAGTGCAAATACATCAAAATGCTGTGAAATCTGCATGTTCCTTAAATCTGAAAAGACAATGATAAAAAGATGGTGGTTATGTTATTAATACATACTGATTTTTCATTTGATTAACTCTAATGAAGAGAACGTGCTGTGAATTTATGTCTTGTATATATCATCATTATTTCAATTCCGAAATAAGATTAAATGGAAACTTAAAAGCATATTATTCCAAAAGAAACAAATTTTTCATTGTTTTCAGTCTTTACTTTAAAAAGCTATGAGAATCAGCTGAAAACAAATTGAATTTATAAGTACAGGACCATGGATGTTTAAAAATTAAGTATATAAAATCAGTATCACCTATGTACCAACAATAAGCACTCTGTAAAAAAAGGAAAAGCATATTTTTACAAAGCAATAAAAATAGATATGTAGGAATAAACTGTGCATACATGAATAATATTTGTAAAGAAAAAAATCAAAATATTATGTAGGAATGTGAAAGAATTTGGGAGAAAAATGAGATATGTATGTTACCAAATAGAATTAATATAACAAACATAGCAATTCTGCACTAAACAAGTGTATGAATTTAAGGCAATTCAAATCAAAATTTCCAGTAGAATTTAAGAATTTAACAATAAAACTTCTAAAGTTCATATAAGATACCTACCAAAAATGAAGCATAAAGAGAGGGAATCCATTAACTGTAGTTAAAATTTACTATAAAACATGGCTAAACACTCTAAACACTGGTACATTTCACAGGGTCAGATCAGTGGAGCAGAAAACAATGAAAGGCAACAGGAAAATAAGAATATATGAACTTAGCATGTCAAATCCGTGGGGACAAGGTTAATTACGCAACCAATACTGCTGAGATAATTGGTTATCCTTTTGGAAAGAAGGTTAGAGCCTTACCTCATGAAATATACCATAAATTCCCTAAATTCCAGAAAGACTAATGCATTAAAGATAAAAAGATGAAACTATGAAAGAGCTAGTAGAGGAAGTAGCTGGCAAGATAGCCAAATAGGAACAGCTCCAGTCTGCAGCTCCCAGCAAGACCACCACAGAACGCAAGTGATTTCTGCATTTCCAACTGAGGTACTTGGTTCATCTCACTGGAACTGGTTAGACAGTGGGTTCAGCCCATGGAAGCACATCAGGGAAGCTCAAGGGGTTGGGGAACTCCCTCCCCTGGCCAAGGGAAGCCATGAGGGACTGTGCTGTGAGGGACGGTGCTATCCAGCCAAGATATTACACTTTTCCCAAGGTCTCTGCAACCCACAGACCCAGAGATTCCCTCAGGTGCCTACACCACCAGGGCCCTGGGTTTCAAGCACAAAACTGGGTGGCCGATTGGGGAGACACTGAGCTAGCAGCAGGAGTTTTTTTTTTCATACCCCAGTGGCACCTGGAACACCAGCAAGACAGAACCATTCATGCCCCGGGAAAGGAGACTGAAGCCAGGGAGCCGAGCGGTCTAGCTCAGCAGATCCCACCCCCATGGAGCCCAGCAAGCTAAGATCCAATGGCCGGAAATTCTTGCTGCCAGCACAGCAGTCTGAAGTCAACTTGGAATGCTGGAGCTTGGTGGGGAGAGGGACATCCACCATTACTGAGGCTTGAGTAGGCAGTCTTCCCCTCACAGTGTAAACAAAGCCTCCAGAAAGTTCAAACTGGGCAGAACTCACCACAGCTCAGAAAAGCTGCTGTAGCCAGACTGTCTCCCTAGATTCCTACTCTCTGGGCAGGGCATCTCTGAAAGAAGGGCAGCAGCACCAGCCAGGGCTTATAGATAAAATTCCCATTTCCCTGGGACAGAGCACCTGGGGGAAAGGGCAGCTGTGGGCACAGCTTCAGCAGACTTAAATGTTCCTGCCTGCTGGCTCTGAAGAGAGCAGAAGATCTCCTAGCATAGCACTTGAGCTCTGCTAAGGGACAGATTGCCTCCTCAAGTGGGTCCCTGACTCCCGTGCCTCCTGACTGGGAGACACTGCCCAGCAGGGGTCGACAGACACCTAATACAGGAGAGCTCCAGCTGGTATCTGGCCAGTACTCTTCTGGAATGAAGCTTCCAGATGAAGGAGCAGGGAGCAATCTTTGCTGTTCTGCAGCTTCCACTGCTGATACCCAGGAAAACAGGGTCTGGAGTGGACCTCCAGTAAAGTTCAGCAGACCTGCAACGGAGGGACCTGACTGTTAGAAGGAAAACTAACAAACAGAAATCAACAACATCAGCATCAACAAAAAGAATGGCCATGCAAAAACCCCATTCAAAGGTCACCAACATCAAAGATCAAAGGTAGATAAATCCACAAAGATGAAGAAAAACCAGCTCAAAAATGCTGAAAATTCCAAAAACCAGGGTGCCGCTCCTTCTGCAAAGAATCAGAACTTCTTGCCAGCAAGGGAACAAAACTGGATGGAGAATGAGTTTGATGAACTGACAGAAGTAGGCTTCAGAAAGTAGGTAATAACAAACTCCTCCAAGCTAAAGGAACATGTTCTAACCCAATGCAAAAAAGTTAAGAACCTTGATAAAAGGCTACAGAAACTGTTAACTAGAATAACCAATTTAGAGAAGAATATAAATGACCTGATGAAGCTGAAAAACACAGCATGAGAACTTTGTGAAGCATACACAAGTATCAATAGCTGAATCAATCAAGTGGGAAGAAAGGACATCAGAGATTGAAGACCAACTTAATAAAATGAAGTGTGAAGATAAGATTAGAGAAAAAAGAATGAAAATGAACAAACAAAGCCTCCAAAAAATATGAGACTATGTGAAAAGACTAAACCTACATTTGATTGGTGTACCCAAAAGTGACAAGGAGAATGGAACCAAGCTGGAAAACACACTTCAAGATATTATCCAGGAGAACTTCCCCAACCTAGCAAGATAGGCCAACAATCAACTTCAGGAAATACAGAAAACACCACAAAGATACTCCTTGAGAAGAGCAACTCCAAGACACACAATCATCAGACTTACCAAAGTTGAAATGAAGGAAAAAATGTTAAGGGCAGCCAGAGAGAAAGGTCAGGTTACTCACAAAGAGAAGCCCATCAAAATCACAGCAGATGTCTTTGCAGAAAACCTACAAGCCAGAAGAGAATGGGGGCCAACATTCAACATCCTTAAAGAAAAGAATTTTCAACCCAGAATTTCATATCCAGCTGAACTAAGCTTCATAAGCAAAGGAGAAATAAAATCCTTTACAGACAAGCAAATGCTGAAATATTTTGTCACCACCAGGCCTGCCTCATAAGAACTCCTGAAGGAAGCGCTAAATACGGAAATGAAAAACAAGTACCAGCCACTGCAAAAACATACCAAAATGTAAAGACCATGGACATTATGAAGAAACTGCATCAACTAATGGGCAAAATAACCAGCTAACATCATAATGACAGGATCAAATTCATACATAACAACATTAACCTTAAATGTAAATGGGCTAAATGCACCAATTAAAAGATACAGAGGGGCAAACTGGTAAAGAGCCAAGACCCATCAGTGTGCTGTATTCAGGAGACCCATCTCTTGTGCAAAGATACACATAGACTCAAAATAAAGGGATGGAGGAATATTTACCAAACAAATGGAAAGCAAAAAAAAAAAAAAAAAAAAAAAAAAAATGCAGGGCTTGCAATCCTAGTCTCTAATAAAACAGACTTTAAACCAACAAAGATCAAAAAAGACAAAGAAGGGCAGTACATAATGGTAAAGGAATCAATGCAACAAGAAG